ATCCAGGTTCGAGGCGGTCGACACGTTCACTCAAGATTGGTCTAGAGATAACAACTGGGTAGTTCCCCTATATCTTTAGTGACAAAAGCTATTAAATATGCTCTGAACAATAGGGCTCCAGCAACACTGGTCATTCCCTACTGGCCATCGGCATCGTTATTGGTCAATTTTGTTTGATAATGGTACAGTTCGCCCTTTGTAAAGGATTTTATTCAGTTATGCGGTAGTACTTCCTTTCAGGGAGGCAGTAGAAAATCTGTTTTCGACAATTTCCAAGGTTATGCATTAGCCATAAGGATATAGAATGGTACTTATGTCATTGGACATTTTCAGAGCTGTTTACGGCTGGAGTGTGGCGCGGAGAGAAAAACTCTTCAGGATGAGAGATTACAGATTCTAGCTGACAAGTTGCCCGATGTAGTGTTGAAATCAAGGGCCAACTACTACAAGCAAGTATAAGAGCTTATAAGAACTGGAGAAAATGGGCCTCTAGTTTTGAAGACATTAGTTTTTCCCAGCATCACCATTTCATGTTTCGGCTGTATTTAGTCTCGTTGATCCAAAGCGTAAAAATAGTTGTAGCATAATAGAAGCAATTCACGGTATTTCATGGGCTCATAGGATCGCAGGTTTACCTGATCCTTGTGCAGATAACCTGGTTATTAATGTTAAAGAATCAGCAATGAGAACGTGTGTTAAACCTGTGGTTAAGAAAGATCCAGTCACCCCAGATATGTTGTTAAAGCTGGTACAGATGTTTGGTGGGAACAACGCTACTTTGCCAGATTTAAGGTTTTATCAATGTCTTTGCTCTCATACGCAGGGATTTTTAGATTTTCTGAAGTAGTTAACATAAAAGAAATGATATTACTTTTGAAAAAGGCTATATAAGTATATTTCTCGGTAAAAGTAAAACTGACGCTTACAGAGACGGAGAAGTGTTTTGATCTCCACACTAGTTCTCCTACATTTCCAGTTACTATGTTAAAGAGGTATCTTGAGGCAGCAGATATAGTTGATTCTTCCCAAGATTACATATTTAGACAGATGTGTTATTGTAAAAGTAAATCCAAATACAAGTTGAAAGGGAAATTTCCGCTGTCCTATACTAGAGCTAGGGAAATATTCCTAGAAAAATTACGTTCATTGGTGAAGATGCCACAAAAATTGGTTTGCACAGTTTTAGGCTCAGGGGGAGCCAGTGCTGCTGCTAACGCCGGTGTCCCCGGACAGATTGTTCAAAAGACATGGCCGCTGGGCTTCAGAGACGGACAAAAGACGGTTACGTTGAAAGGCGATGTTAATTCATTACTATTAGTGTCTGCAAATTTGGGAATTTGAAGGTTGTTTTTGTATGGCATTTGTTGGAAGTAAAGTTGGTTTGCATCAACAGGCCCGCTCTTTTTATATCGAGGCGCCGTAGACAGCACCCTGTATTACGAGTATGTTATACTTGGTAAATGTTTTATGTTCGCTTGAGCCGGCGAATTAGAACATAAATAAATTTATCTAGGTAAAATACGGTAGTCTAGGACGGACTACCGTGGAGGCATGTGCTGCACGAGAAGTTGTGCTTGTTTAGTCACGTGGTAGAAGGTTACAAGGTGGGTTGAAGATATTGTTTCATTACCGAGGTCTCACGCTGCTACTCAGGCGAAAGTAGCTTTGCCTTGGTTTTTGTTTTCATTGGGGACAGGGCCACTGGGCGTGTGTTTGGCCACTGGGCCGTGTGTTTGGCCACTGGGCCGTGTGTTACGAATGTAGGCCACTGGGCCGTGTTACGAAAGTAGGCCACTGGGTCGTGCTGTACACAGGTGGGCCACGGATGCGATGTTATGGTGATATACAAAGTTACTTGATGGAGGATCAGCAGAAGTAAATAGAAAGAATTGCACGCATCCTGGGATTGGTGACAGGGACACAGCCAACAACTCAACAGAGACGAATCTTATGGCGTGGAGCGGTCAATATTTTAAGTTAAGTATGCTTTATGTTTAGGCTGGAAATTCTTGTGGGGGTCTTAAATGGTTTGTTTTTCTGTAGTTACTTGCAAATGTTTAAAGTAACGATGGGTTATGTTCGAATATTAAGTAAAGCAAGGGATTATGTTTCCATTTAAGTCAACGTTAGAGTTACTTATTATAGAAGTTTGCAATTGTATCGATGGCTTTTATGGACCTTGTTTCAGAGGCAGTTCAGCTCAGGGTGGAGTCGTCTCAGATGTATACAAGATTCAAGGATGCATGATTACGTGGAGATCCGGCATTGTGTTCGTGCGAAATATGGAAGGATATCCGATTGGGCAGTGTATGGACTTGCGCTCTATCGCATTTATATCTGTGATCCGTGTCGATGAGTTCTTGCTATGTAAACTTCAGAAATAAACCTGCTCGCACTCGAGGCGCGGTAGACAGCACCCTGTATTACGAGTATGTTATACTTGGTAAATGTTTTATGTTCGTTTGAGCGAAGCGAATTAGAACATAACACCAGGAGTCGTCACCATTCAGAGAGTCCACAGCTCACTTAAACTCAGTCTAGTCCAGAGCTTGTTTAAACTCAGTCTAGTCCATAGCTTGTTTAAACTCAGACTAGTCGAGAGATAATAGCAGGCTTGTACACATCTCTCTTAAACTCACATTGTTCCGTGTCTAACTTAAACTCTGGCTATTCCACAGTTCACTTAAAAACTCAGTCTAGTCCAGGGCTTGTTTAAACTCAGACTAGTCAACAAATAATAGCAGGCTTGTACACAGCTCTCTTAAACTCACATTGTTCCATGTCTAACTTAAATTCTGGCTATTCCACAGCCAATTTAAATTCAGCCTAGTCCACAGCTAATTTAAACTCAGTCTAGTCCAGGGCTTGTTTAAACTCAGACTAGTCAACAGCTTACTTACACTTCACACTAGTCCACAGCTCACTTGAATTTAGGCTAGTTAATTTAGCACAGTTCAATTTAGCAGTGTAAGAAAAAACCAGATGAAGGGGAACACAAGTTCTTCTTGATTTAGAATCTGTGCCAAAACTTTTGAAACTACCAGAATAAACTTGTCTTTCAACACTATTTTCATTAGATTCCATTCTAAAAATAATCATATTTGATCAATATTAACTGGCGCTTGATCACCCTGCATTACCCTGTTGACTTTCAATTCCTGGTCATACTGTTGCTAAACACTGCTCCAATGTTGTCCTTTTCCTCTGTGCAGTTCCTTCCAATAACTGTTGTAGCCCGAAGCTTTCAATGCCGACATTTTTCGGATGCTCAATGTTCTTTGTCCGATTATTGGCTACAGACCTATTTTTCAAATGTTTACATTTTATTGGTATTTAATGTTCCTTGGCCCAGTAATGGTTACAGATTTTTTCTTCATATGTCCATAACAAGTTTATTTCTTGTTTTACGGATCCGCCTGCCATATTCTTTCATGAATAATAATAATAAAAAAAAAAAAAAAATTCCCTGGCTCAAAAAATAATAAAATCCTAATGTTTTTATTGGCCAAACACGTAAACTTACAAGAAAAATATTTATATAGATTGTTTTTTAGCCCCATAAACACTTCATAAATTGCCAAAAGTAAAATACTTTGAGTATTTAGAAGGAATATTACTTTGACTGGTGATTTCATTGTTATTTTTTTTGCCCTCCTGCCTTTAGGATTTCTGAGGATAAAAATCTGTAAAACAAGAAATAAAATTGGTGTGGCCTATGTTATCATTTTAAGGATGCTATGTTCCTTGTCTAAGTAATGGCTTTACACTTATTCTTTGTTGTCATTTGTCCTGACATTCTACGCTGCTTGGCTCAATAACCATCCATGCTTCCAACATGTGCAGAACATTTCTTCCTCTTCATCACAGAAGTTGAATCTCCAATGATAATATACCTGTCTTCATCATCAAGTACACACACAAGACTTCGCTCACCTCTGTATACCACTATCTACCAATTATCATGTTTCAGATATTTCCTCCTTGACAATACTATTCAAAATGGTAATCAGCATCTATGTCTGAACTAAGTGTGTAAGCCTTTTCTTGCACTAATACTAGCTATGCTGACTCCAAACTAAAACATAATGTGGTTATATATCTCTACAACAAACTATGCATGCTGACTCCTACACAAGACACTTATAGTATAAACACACATATTACCTAACTCTTGCATGGCTGCACGCATGAAAACATATTTCCATGGGTAAACAAGCTTAACATACCTTAAAACAGAATATTACATGACTAGTCTCATGGTGAAATCTCAAAAACCCAGTATGAAATATTTAAAAGATACTACTTTCATTTTTATATCTCATTTGCAGGGACATTGAATCTGATCCTCCTTGAATAATGGTTCTTTTAATGTTAAAGTTATATACACCCTCGATCAGTTGATGTTATTCAACCAACAACAATAATTCTATCGAACACTGACAACAACCATCCAATCAGCAACAACACCGGCGACCTTTCCTGACACTGACAGAAACGCATGCTAAGGTCAAGGTCATGCTGGGTTCTTCCATCTTGTTCGACTTGATCAATCCTAGCAACTAGCACTATCACAACACGCGAACACAGTCATTGGCATGATGTTATTGTCGAGGTTACTTGTTGGTTACACTAAGCACTTATGATTTACAATAAGCACTTACTACCTAGACAAAGCACTCATTGCTTGCATAAAGCACTTACTGCATACACCAAGCACTTCCTGCATGGAGTTCTAAGTATCACAGCATCACAAAATGGATGGATGTGTTAATTGCGATGATGAGAGTCGACGTCTCAACTCAAGTGACGACCATCTGGTAACAGTGATGAGAGAATAGTGACAAATTACAGGACAAAACATATACGGGCAACACACAGTGAGCTAGTCAGCTGCTTAGAGTGAGCAGTTGAACAGCGGAGCGAGCATTGAGCGAGCACACGAGCAGCATTGAGGGAACCACGCAGAAACACAGGTGCGAGAAGACGCCGTGAGGTACTACCTAGGACAGCTGCAGCTCCCTTCTTGAACATTGCCACTTTTAAAATAAAGATGGGAAATATTGACAATCTCCTGCCACTTTTAAAATCAAGATGGGAAATATTGACAATCTCCTGCCACTTTTAAAATAAAGATGGGAAATATTGACAATCTCTTGCCACTTTTAACAAAAGGTGGAAAATATTGATAATCTCTTGCCACTTTTAATGAAAAGACAATATATATTGACAATCTTGCCACTCTTAACATAAAGATAGGAAATACTGACAATCCCTCGCCACCTCAAAAATATAGATAATATATATTGACAATCCCTTGCTATGTTAAAAAGAAAGATGGTAAATACTGTTAATCTCTTGCCACTTTTAACTTAAAGATGGGAAATATCGATAATCTCCTGCCACTTTTATAAATAAAGATCAGAAATGTTGACACTATATTCCCACTTATAACAAGAAGATGGGATATATTAAAAATCTCTTCCCACGTTTTATGCGAAGATGGAAAAATGAACAATCTCTTGCCACATTTAGCATGAAGATGAGATATAATATAAACTATCTCTTGCCACCTTTAAAATAGATATGGACCATATTTACAAACCCAAGAAAAAGTTAACCGAGAACATGTTTACAAACCCAATAAAATTTAACCAAGGGAATCCTAAATATGTATGATTTTGTAACACAGAGATGTGGTGATCATTACATTTTCTTGCTATATTTTACATTAAATCAGTCAAAGTTTTGAATTGTCTCATTTGCAACATAAAGCTGTATGATTGGTATTCCTTTTCTGTAACATGTAATATAACGTTACAATATTATCAGTCACTTTCTTGCCACTGTAAACATAGAATGGAATTACTTATAATTCGTTACTTCCAGGGAAAACATGTTTAGATAACAAAGCAATATTACATATATTACAACGGTTAACATGGTGCAATATTACATGTATTTGCCATTGTTAACATGGTGCAATATTACATGTATTTGCCATTGTTAACAAGGTGCAATATTACATATATTTGCCATTGTTAACATGATGCAATATTACATATATTGCAATGGTTAACATGGTGCAATATTACATATATTGCAATGGTTAACATGGTGCAATATTACACATATTTGCCATTGTTAACATGGTGCAATATTACATATATTTGCCATTGTTAACTTTAGCAGCATCATATATATTACCCACTGTTAATATGGCGTAATATTACATATATTTGAAATCTATAACCTAGTGCAAATATCCATATATTGTCACTGTTAACATGGTGCAAATATTTTATATTCAGAACATGCTGTTGCCACGGTAACTGAAATATTCCAAAGAATACAAAGAATCATTTCTTTTTGAAAAGCACCATAGTAAGCTATGTTTAATGTGTCCATGTTAGCAGTCAACATAAAACATAAGTATTTTGTGATCAGTTTACATCTTACAGTGTATGTATCTTTGAAGGTTTCTTAAATAATGCAGATAATGTTCACCAAAGTGAGTCCTGATCCTAACACATCCTTCTAAATGTTTCTTCAGATGTCATCATTTTTCTTTTTTAGAGCCTAGGAACCAAACTTATGTTTCTAAGATATCTTTAACTCAGTTATCTGACTAATGTGCCCCCAAAAAGAGAGATTTGAATAATTTACTTTACAATTGCCTTTGACAGACACTATGTATAAGTCTATCCTAATTAAGGTTAAGTGTCTCTCGTAAAACCCCTTTCTACTTACATGGACGACAGCGACACTTCTTAATAGCACGGACATCGTTTACGTCGCTGTGGCAGGTTTTACAATAATAAAATGCTCTGAAACAAATACACATTCAAAATAGATGACACAACTCATGATCATCTTGTGAAGGTGAAAATTTAATGAGCTAAACCAATACAATATCTGGCCTTTTTATGGGGTTCAAATTTAATTTGCCTTAAAAACAAATTTAATTTCGGAGTGATTTAGACACAATATATGGGCTATAAATAAGTCTATACTTTCTTAAATTGAGGTATGTTTAATATTCAAAAACTAAACATTCAAGGGTCATTTTGTTTATAGGTCCTTCTATGGAAATGCAAGTCAACTCTTCAAAATTTGGTTCTTCCCACTGACAACTACTTCAGTCTTTGGGCCAAATATCTGCCACTGAGCAGGTCTAGATAACAGGGATGGCAACAGGAAAATCTATTTTTAAGGTCAGCTCAACCTTCTTAACACCAGTGTCTAGATTACAGGGATGGCAACAGGAAAACTTAACAATCGAATGTAGGGTTCGGGGAGAAAGAAGAGAGAAACATAAGTCGAAAAATAGAGAGAGAGAGTAATAATTTGAAAAATATTTGACGGAAATCTGTGGATCAGCGGAAAATTGCCATAACTGAGATTAATCAAACTTCTGAATGTTTTTTTATACCATTGTTAAACAGTATCCAAAACTGATTTTATGCAAATTTTAGCAATATTTTCCTAAACACATGCTCATGATAAAGTCGGAATTGTACAACTGACTCTGCATTTAGCAAAGATTTCTTATGGACGTGGATATTTTTTGTCACTTTTATTTACACACTCATGTATCAGTACATCACCTTGTGATACATCTTTGCCCTCAACTGACTCACCTTTTGACCTCCTCTGCAGACTCAGCTATGAAGAACCCCTGTGTGGCATTCTCTATCTTCACCTTAGGCCCGGGATTGATAGCAAGAGTGCTCTCCCTTGTGTCCTCCTGCCGGACTTCTATTGCCAATAGGAGGAGCTTTAGCTTCACAAAACACAACCTAAAGACAAGATAAACAAAGAAACTGAAACAGAACCTTCTTGGTGAATTTACATCTCATGGTAACCTGCAATGTATGTAGGGCAAAGAACAGGGTGAGTGAGTGAGTTTGGTTTTATTCCACTTTTAGCAATATTCCAGCACTATCACTGTGGGGGACACCAGAAATGGGCTTCACACATTGTACCCATGTGAGAAATCGAACCTGGTTCTTTGGTGTGACGAGCGAACACTTCAACCACTAGGCTACCCCACCGCCCTTCAAAGAACAGAGACTCTGTAGCCTATTTGCGGACAGCTCAATTTTTTGGTTGATCAGTTGCTATTACTTCCTAATCAGTGGTTTCCAAGAAATGTTGGAACATATATGTCCTAATAGCTGTTTCTTGCTGAATCATGCAGCCGTCCACCTATATCGCATTGACCTGTAAATAATTGATGCTATGCCTGTAATTGAGTGTACAATAAATGATCAATTCTTGTCCATCTTGGGGTACCACAGCAACAGACTATTTCACCCAGGATGCAAAGGGTGGAATGCTTACAATTGTGAATAATAAACAATGTGACTCAGTCTCTACTGAAAATAACTAACCAGGGCCTAGATTTTCGAAGCTCTCTTAGGCTAAGATCATCGTAAGTTAATGTTAATGTATGGCAGTTATGACTATCTTAGCGCTAAGAGAGCTTCGAAAATCTAGGCCAAGGATCCCAAGTGTAGAAAAGTTATGACTGGCTATTTTCCAAACAATATCCTAATGGATCCAGTAGATTACTGTAAATCTTAAAAGTAATGCGAGAGTAAATTCAATGCATGTGGCCTTTGCTCGCATTAATTAAACTTCGCAATTATGGTTAAAAAATTACTCTTAACATGATGGCATCAGTATGGATTATTGAACAACCAACTTAGATGTCAAAACAAACACCTTTCTATTCCACATCACGGTTTATTGAGCTACCAAGTATATACCTGTAATATATGTCATTCAATTGCATAATGGACATCCAGTGAGTCGACATTGCTGTGGTCCAGAGTTTCAAACTCTGGCATCACAGAATACTGCATCAAAGGCTGACATGACCCAACACATATACTGACTGACTGAGTTTAGTTTTACGCCGCTTTTAGCAATATTCCAGCAATATCCCAGCCTGTTTAGTTAAAGCGGTCAGAAATGGGCTTAACACATTGTGCCCATGTGGGGAATCCAGTGAACCCGGTCTTGCTGTGGTCCAGAGTGTCAACGCTTTAACCACTAGGCTACTGCATCAAAGGCTGACATGACCCAGCACATATGGATAGGCTTTATAACACATATTATGACACCTACACCTTTGTCGTGTGTACCTACAAGTTCGTTGACACCTTCTTCACATAGCAATCTGTATATTGTTGTTTTATCGTGATGTTGAATGGTTCTTTGTGAAGTACTCTACTCTCCGCTAATAAGCAGTACTATTTTCTGTTTGATAGGATTAATGAAGGATTTGATTTAGGTAAGGCTTAAATGCTTCTCCTGTATATCTCACAGAAGTAATTTTATAACTACTTATATAACTGGGGCTGGGGGAAGTCAAATGATGTTGAGTCACATTTTATAATGATATAGACCGGGATAGACGTCTGGAGTTGCATTAATTTGGAAACATTAAGTTCAATATTTACAGTAAATCAGTTGAAAGACAGGAAGACAGGAAGTGACTTGATACATACTCTGCTGCTTCAGGGAAGGTCATGCCATTGAAGGCACTGGAAAGGTATTCTGTGTACATCTCCATGGCTGTTCCCCGCATATAGTCTGCCTGCCACTGAGCTCGATCAACACCCTGCAATGTCAAGGATTCAGTGTCACCAACTCCATCTCAGTGTTCAGCTCAGATGTATGGGAGATCTGATGAAGACGTCACAAGAATAACAAACATGTTTCAATCTAAAATAGTTCAAATGAGGTTGAGGTAAATCACTCACTTCAAACTGTATGATAATGAAGATGAACACATGTTATATATGGGATTACACTTTCTCAGTAAGGATGATGATACTAAAGTTTCAATGCACAAATGGCCAATATAACCAAGGAAGTAGAACTGTTCCTTGTCTCACACAGATACAAAATGTGTATGTCTATCATAGTTGCTGATAAAAACAAACACTTTCCCCTGCTGAATACTGATGCACACCCTATAGACATATTTTTCTTGAGTATAACAAATAAATTCTTTTTATGAAACTGTCCAAGGACATAAGATTTTCAACACAGCAATTCTGTCTTCATCGTTTAGGACACCTATGACATTTCCACTGATTACTAGCCTACTGCTTCATGGCTAACTATGCTTGAAGATATTTCATGTCAACTGGTTAGGTAACTAGCCTACTGCTTAAACATACCTACCGGTCTGTCTAACTAGCCTACTGCTTAATGACTAACTATGCTTGATGATAGTTCATGTAAACTGGTTAACTAACTAGCCAAATGAAATACTGAAAGATGGAATCTTAAACTGTTAAGGCTGTAAAAACAAAAAAAAACTATCTGTAATGTAATAACTTCGATGAAACTATGAAGTCTACAAAATTGGTCAAATTAGTGACAATCTAGTTCTACATATAGAAATGGAAATTCTCTTTGTTTGAGTCATGATGACTCTTGATTACCTCGGGTATCTTATGTTGCAAGTCAAATAAGAAATGAAACATGAGATGAAAAGATAAAACATTCCCTAAATTGCTGATTTGCGCTTCCATAAATGAAGAGAAATGGATTTCATGAATAATATTTCATCAACACTGTTATGTACACAGTTTTTCAGCAAACACCCAATCTATACCTTGAAGGTGAGTGAGTGAATGAGTTTGATTTTGCACCACTGTGATATTTGAGTCATGTTACATCTGTGACACCAGGAGACAGCTTTACTCCTGCACCATGTGTGGAATCAAACTCGAAGCCTAATGACTTGTTCTACCCCACCACCTTGCACCCTGAAAGCCAACCCACACATTCAATGTTAACCATTCCCATCCTCCAGCAGTGTGTTAAGTCCCTTCAACAGCTGATGTTCAGGGATGGCAACAGGAAAATCTATTTTCAGCTTAAAACTTAATATTGTGTCATCGAATGGGGGGTTCAGGGTTTCTCAATGGGTTTAGACGATCCACAGAATTGATAAATTTGAAATAAAATCGGTGGAAATCTCATGATCAGTGGAAAATTGCCATCCCTGTATGTTACAAAGACATCCTTGAAATCTTAAACTGTGAAAGTGAGTTAGTCAGGTTTTACACCACTTTTAACAATATTCCAGCAAAATTGTTGCAGGGGGCACCAGAAATGGGCTCACCCATTGTACCCAAGTGGGGAATCGAACCCAGGTCTTCGGTGTGGTGAGAGAACATTTTAACCACTAAGCTACCCAGCAGCCACTACTGGAACAACTGAATCCAAATAGGCTGGTGTTAAAGTGACGGAAATAAGGAAATCTAGAACTTGTCCTTTCAGTTAGAGTGAGTGAGTTTAGTTTTACGCCGCTTTTAGCAATATTCCAGCTATATCACGGCGGGGGACACCAGAAATGGGCTTCACATATTGTACCCATGTGGGGAATCGAACCCTGGTCTTCGGCGTGACGAACGAACACTTTAACCACTAAGCTACCCTACCGCCCCCCTTTCAGTTAGAAACCTATGTTGTGGTGATAATGAGTTCAAGTCCGTGGTCAGCATAATGACCAATAATGAAATCTGGACCAGACAAACCAATGACTGAAAGCAGAAGGAACAATCAGGTCATGATGACACACAATCAAAAAGTCACTGAGACTGACCACCAGATTTTGGAATTGTTCTAACCTAGGTCTGCATTGGTCTGGTCAGCATGTCCACAACTTTATGACCATCTCATCCTTTTAATACCCATCTGTTCTTACGACAAGCATCGAGACTGCCGTGAAATCCTTATTGGATGCTTCACACATCACACACATTAATTTACATATTACACTCATGGCAGCATTGCCCACACCAGTGAAGCGATATTAGTGTAATGCTCTTGAGTTGAGTAATTTTGAATGTTGTCACTGAATGCACTGAAGTCATATCAATTAAGGTGAAAGTTGTTGGATTTTTTTTAGTTCAACGTCACACTCAGCAAAATTGCAGCTCTATGACGATGGCCTGTAAATAATCAGGTCCAGACCAGACAATCCAGTGATTGATATCATGAGCATGTATCTATGCAACCCCGGTGCAGTGATCTCAATTATCTGTGTCACTGAACACCTGATGCATTAGGTCATCTCTTGCAACAAGCAAAAGTTGCTGAGGACCAATAATCTTAACTCAGGATCTTCTTGTAAATATATAAAATATTTTGACTTGACCAAGCATCATTACATGTATTGAGGTATCAAATTAAAGTTCATTAAAAACTTATATGGAAGAACAACACTGCTCATATGAAAGTGACATCAAAGTAACACTTGATGTATTGTGAAGTGATCTGAAACAGTAACAGGGCAAGTCTTCATGTGATAGCAAATACCCTTGAACTGAAGTGATCTGAAATAGCAACACAGCATGTCTGGTAGTGATGCTCTTGAGAGCGTGAAGTGATAGTGTAGTAACACCACCACACGGTTTGAATGATACTAACATTCTTGTACATGTTGAGGGGATATTCATCTGACACCATTGGCGCCATGACTCCACTTCCAGGCACCGCCATCTGCTGTAGGAGGCAACACATGTCACATGGGCCAATACCAATCAAGTATTAGTAGTGTTAGCTGCTCAGAAAACTTACAACCAGAAAATCTCTGCAGAAAACTGTGCTAACGAACATACCGTGCAGCAAGCAAAACATCCTGACAAAAACATCTGAAATCAGAGAACATGCACATCTACAACTGGAAACAGAATGCATTACATAAAAACAGAAGGATTGATAAACAAGTAAACAGGCAGATTCAGATTGATCAGAAAGTAAACAGGCAGATTGATCAAAGGGTAAACAGGGTTGCTCACAGGGTAAAATGGATTGAGCACAGGGTAAACAGGCAGGTTGGTCATGGGGTAAACAAGCAGATTGGTTACCGGGTAAACAGGTAGGTTGGTCATGGGTAAACAGGCAGATTTATAACAGGGTAAAAGGATAGGTTGGTCACAGGGTAAACAGGCAGGTTGGTCATGGGTAAACAGGCAGATTTATCACAGGGTAAAAGGATAGGTTGATCACTGGGTAAACAGGCAGGTTGGTCATGGGTAAACAGGCAGATTTATCACAGGGTAAAAGGATAGGTTGGTCACAGGGTAAACAGGCAGGTTGGTCACTGGGTAAACAGGCAGGTTGGTCACTGGGTAAACAGGCAGGTTGATCACAGGGTAAACAGGCAGATTGATCACAGGGTAAACAGGCAGATTTATCACAGGGTAAAAGGATAGGTTGGTCACAGGGTAAACAGGCGGGTTGGTCAATGGGTAAACAGGCAGGTTGCTCACAGGGTAAACAGGCAGGTTGCTCACAGGGCAAACAGGCAGATTTATCACAGGGTAAACAGGCAGATTTATCACAGGTAGATTGGTCACAGAGTTATAACAGGGTTAATCACAGGGAAACAGGGTTCAACACAGGATAAACACTGCAGTACACAGGATAAAGAGGACTGAATATAAACATGAGGCTTATGCAAAAGTTTAACAGGTAGACTAATAAAATGGATAAAAATGAAAGGATTTAAAAAAGAATTAAAAGACAGAATTGGACAAAGGATTAGTACAAGGATTGACCACAAGATTAACATATAAACAAATGGATTGAGAAAAAGATAAACATGCATTAATAATGAAGACTCATACCATGTTTTTAAAGGAAACAGAATAATTCAAAGAATATAATAAAGATAAGTGTTTTTACTACATTTGTCTTATTTTCTACACTGTTAACAGCCATGTAGTGAGATCATTTAGGACCAAGCAGCATCCCCAAAATTTGTTCTTATACGTGGCAATGACCTTTTCCCTTAATTCTTGTCGTTTGTGGACAATTTTCACCCTTTTCAAAATGTGCAATTTCAATTACATATTTGAAAACACAAGAGAGTCACTCCATGACCATAGACACTGCTTGTGCAAAACATATCAAGATGTCATAAAAGGGGAAACAGTTTTCAAGTTGGTGAAACTGTTTGATAGAAACAACACAAGCATGTCACTGTAAATTGTATCAATTTATTAAAATAACTTAATTTATGGATACAATTACCTAAGCTTCCAAATCTCTTCCCAAGAGGCCATCAAAAAATTCCATTAATTTCGCAAACCCTCTTGGGTATAGTATATGATGAGACAAAAATATGACATTAACATTTTGGCACACAGGTCCCTGGATGCTCATACAGTTATTATTCATGCCATCTTACTGACATTAATCTGAAGTGATTGCTAGAACTAAAAGTGGTTTCACAATTATTTATTGGACTTTTAAAGTTTCAAAAATAAAGTGTCAGTAAAATGAACAAAGTGTTCACAAACTGGTCAGCTATGCTGATAAGGAGACACTTTGGGAACACTTTGAGATAGAGCGAGTGCTTGCAAGCACAAATATTGTTAAAGCAGGCGCATACTGGTAAAGTAAACACAGTACAATGCACTGAGGTGCAAGGTGTCAAAGGTTAACGAGCAATAGTGAGTGAGTGAGTGAGTTGGGTTTTATGCCACATTTAGCGATATTCCAGTATTATCACAGGAGGACACCAGAAATGGTCTTCACACATTGTACCCATGTGGGGAATTGAACCATGGCCTTCGGCATCACTTGCGAACACTTTATCCACTAGAATACCCTACCGTCCCGTTAAAAGCAATAAGCAGTATGGGACCACAAGTCATCCAAGTATCAATACTATGATACTGGTGCAGTAACACACACAATGTACCCTCCGTACCAATGGAGATGAGGGAAATTGTTTCAGTATGGTTCCAGTGGTCGTAAATTTTACAAATGTGGATTAAAATTCACATAATAAAAGGCTGTCAGTTCATTTCCTTCCAAACAAGCTTATATATTTCCCCAAGAGAAATATTTCCTTGTAGATCCGGCCTGTGAATTGTGTGTCCAAGCAAGTGTCCTCACAAGGACACAAGCAAGCAGCACATAGCCTTGTCTCATGTACACACTGATCAAACAACTTGCATGAAGTGAGGTGGATGTAACGTCGTTTTGAAGAGTTTTCCAGTTATATCACAACATGTCGCCCTGATGTGGGAGGAAATCCTGAAGCAGGTTTCCGTTGTTCCCACTTAGGTGCAGCACGCCAGCACAAACAAGTTACAAACCTTGAAACATCATCGGTGTAACAAGGATTTGAACCAGAATTCAAACCCGCTCATGCAATAAAGTAATAAAGGTAAATTGCCAGAATAATTGAAAATTATACCCATCAATTGCATTTGATGTTCGGGAAGTGAAAAAAGGGCTTGTCACTTTGTTGGCCATGATTTCAAATTAATAACAAGCTATTGTAATGGTGCCTATGCTCTCCAAACCAAGCCATGCAAACATCAATCTCAGAAACACATGCCCCTCTCAAACATGTGCTGTGATGGTCTCGCAGAGCTATAAAGTCAAGGGAGATAACTCTTCTCTTTGTCTACAGCACTACGGCAATGCAGTCCCAACTGTTACACTCACGTCAACATGCATGAAGGATTAGTTTGTGATTCAGGGACAGATAACTATCAATCATTCCAACCCAACATCTATATTTTACTGCTGCCACTTATTTCTCTACAAATCCCTGGCCATCTCGTATCAAAAGATGTTAAAATATGGTACTATTGTTTCCCTGCCTGGTTCTCAAGGCGTTAAAACAAGGTCTGGTCCAACTTTTGAAATTAAAGTCGGTCCTTAGGCCACTGAAAACAGCTCAGACCCACAGCTTTTGTTTATGGGTCCTTATGGCCTTGTTTGCTGGGAATTACTTTTATTGTAGCTAAAATATAGGGCCTACACATTCTGATCAGGACCCACAACTTTTTATGGTTCTGGGTCCTCAGGGCCTGCAGCTATTCAGGGTTAAGGGCAAACACTGGTCTGGTCAGTTCAGACTCTGTGTACCCTCTCTGATTGAGTATCTATGTTAAACTGCAACATCGTATCTCAGTGGATGAGCATGAAACCGATGTTATTGAACAAGCTGAAGCAGCCACACACAGAAGAATGCATCTAATGTGTTTCACTTCACCTCTCCATTTCTACAAAGATATATTTGTTGAATCTTAAAGGAACAGTTTGACCTGGAGGGCAGATATGTCACCACCCAACCCCTTTTTGTGCCACCCACCATTTGTAGCATCACACATTAGACAATTTTAACTGGAACCCAGAAACCCATCCATCGCCACCAACCACCATTATATGCACTACCCGCCATTATAACCACCTACCACAATCACAAACACCAACCCTAACTTCACAACCACCACCACCCATCATTATAATCCCCACCCACCCACCATCACAAACACCTACCCTAACATCCCAACCACCACCACCCATCATCATAATCCCCACCCACCCACCATCACAAACACCAACCTGCTTGTAGGACCTCATGGTGAAGAGGTTGGCCATGAGGGTTGAGAATCCAGGTGCCAGACAGCTCTGAGCGATGAATCCGAGTTTGAGTTCTGCAATACACACAGCATCATCCCCTCGTTTCCAGTCCCAGCTTGGGATGTTCAGCAGGTATGCCTGGTGACCAGAATATGATAGTTTAAACACTTGCGTAACTACAGTGGCAAACTCAGTTATAGTCCGTTTGGCTCAAAAGCGGACCGATGAATTGCAATCTAACTCGAAAACTAATAAACATATAATACTAAATGAAACGCTGATCATAATCAAAATAGTAAACCAACTCTAAGTGAGTTTTTTGCAGAATTTATGAGAGGAACAGCCAGGTGTACGCGCATAGCGTGCACGCCCACACGTTGTTAATTCATTTGTACTGTGCGTCCATCCATCCTTTTCTCCCACACCTAAATAGTGAGTGAGTGTTCCTCCTTTGCACTCCTCCCTCGTAATAAATAGTGAACTGTGTAAATATTTTAATGATAGTTAGTTAAACAACTTTTTTATTTTTAGGACATAAATTCTACCAAAAAAATCACAGAGTTGGTCTGATGGTTTGATTATGATCAATGTTTCATAGAGTAATATATGTTTATTAGTTTTCGAGTTAGACTGCAATTCATCGGTCCGCTTTTGAGCCAAACGGACTATAACAACATTAGGAACAGTAGCTCACCAACACATGTACAAACAATAAATGTCGTCTTATACCATAGTCAGACCCATGCAAGCACTATAGGGTAATGGCTTTGTGTATTACCAGTATGTCCAGTGCTGACAATGTAAGCAGGTGACCACTGTGGCACAATGACACAGGATAAGCTAAGTCACCCATTGTGGACAACCAATTCTCATTTTCATTTGATCTGAGGACCATCATGGCACTGGAGATCTATCCTGCCTTAGATGCTCTGCATCTGCATTTAGGCTTGTTGAGGCCAGACCAATTTTATTTCTTGTTTTACGGATCCGCCTGTCATATTTTTTCAAGAAATAGAAAAAAATAATAATTAATTTTCCCCACTCATAAAATAAAATCCTCATGTTTTTATTGGCCAAAAATGTAAACTTAAAACTTTTATTTTTTTGATTGTTTTTGCCCCACATTAACTTAAAAAATTGCCAAAAATAAAATACTTTAAGTATTTAAAAGGAAAATTATTTTGACTAGTGATTTTATTTTTTATGTTTTTCCCTCCTGCCTTTAGGTTTTCTGAGGACAAAAATCCGTAAAACAAGAAATAAAATTGATCTGGCCTAATATAAAGTCATGTTTCACATGACCTACCCATAACTAAACTTCCCCTTCCTTTAATATTTTATTTTGAAGCAGTTTTATGAAAGTAGTTTCAGCTAAACTTTTGCTCTTTGCACCAGATTTAGATTTAGATTTTGTCACTTCGAGCTCATCCTTGATGATCATGGATATTAAATCACCATTCTATTATGACAAAACCCAGGATCCATTTGTAGCCATTAGCTTCAGTTTGGAAGTGCCATCATCAGCTGGTTCTCTCTTATCTTTCACTTACAACAGAATTTTCTTCTCATAAGGTACTTTCAACAAGCCTTGCCACAAACACCTGGTGTCATCACTATTGTACTGTGATCAGACTATATAGATTTCAGCACTATTCTTACCCGTGAAGGTCTGGGTTAGAATGAACCTTCACTAACCCATGCTTGTCGTAAGAGGCGACTAATGGGATCGGGTGGTCAGGCTCGCTGGCTTGGTTGAACATGTCATCGGTTCCCAATTGCGCAGATCGATGCTCATGCTGTTGATCACTGGATTGTCTGGTCCAGACTTGATTATTTACAGACCGCTGCCATATAGCTGGAATATTGCTGAGTGGGGCGTAAACTAAACTCAACTCACTCACTCATAATATTCAAGGTTCTATTGCACAAGGGCAGTTATTCATTCACCCAGTTGAGTCCGACATCCATCATGACTCTCATATTCTGACACAGACCAATAAGAGTCATGATGCTAAGATCCCATCATGGAAGGTGGTCCAGATCAATAACCTCAAGATTAGAGTGGCACACTGATACTTGACCTGAGATGCACAGTCAACGACAGTCACATGTTTCTGTCCTGGTCCTCTGCGTGGGTCACAAACGACCTTGACAGTCATTATGTCCCTGAAAGTCATTTGTGACATTTTTGCCATTCTGGGACAAGATGGATTGAACTTGTACCCAGTAATAGAAATATTATTGTCTGGCTTCCATCTTCACGCAAGTTGACATACAGATGTACATATTCACGTTGTTCAACAATCAAATTATCGACAGCTGCATACTTTAAAAAGCTATTAATATCAAATTGTGACTCTTGGCAATGTTAAGTATTATTCTTACTTGAAATCAGCCAAAATACTCTTAAAAACCATGCATAAACACAAAACACTAAGAGCTATTTTGAATGATTGGTTGGTTTGTTGTTTAACGCCATACTCAGTGATATTCCAGCTATATGGCTGTGATCAACATCATCAGCATCAATCGACACAGTTGGGATAAAATGACATGTCAACCAAGTCAGTGAGCCCAATCCTGCTAGTAGCCTGTTAGGACAAGCCTACTTTGAATGAAATGCCTGTAGTCATGCATTTTAACTGATTTGTCATGATATTGAAAATATTGATATTCGACAGCGAAAGTCTAGCAGCAATGGCCGTGGCAAGATGAGCGCTTGATCAGATCAACATTCATATATTCAATAAGCCCCACAGGCAGCAATCAAGATGTCTCTCTCAAAGACTACAAATGTTTTTCTCATCGGTTTCCTCATCTGAATGGAGACGGGGTCAAGAACAGTCCCATCATTCACCAGTACTTGTCATACATTCTGATTGGCAGGACACTGTCCTCCAAACACCAAGCTGGTCGATATCCACATTATCGACATTTTGAAGACAGCTAGGTTATTACCTTCACTGACATTTAATTACAAAATCTAAATTAATCTACTGCCTAGATTTTGCATTGTGTCAATGTGAAATTCTATCTGATTTGTTCTAATTCTCAACACAATAGTTTAAACAGGAAATAAAACTATGAGGGATCATTTTCAGGTTTCAAAACAACATTAAAAAATTCAGGACCATTCTCATCATTGAAGCCAAAACATATTATCATTAATCTAAAATAATGACTAAGATGGCGATAAATGGCCGAGATTGTATGTCAGTACCATCCAAAGCCTCCTTTGTTTTAAATGTTCATCTCAATGAAGCGAGAGATAGGCATTGATTTTGTTTTGTGAAATCAGGTTATACAGCCCATAGCTGTTGTTCAGAATGCCTCATATTAACCTATTCATGATTAGACAACACATTTGGATTTATTTTTGCTATCTGTAAAGTGATGTACAGATAGATGGATGTAGGGTCGTTTTAAAATGACCTGTAATGGGAGGTCTTGAGATAGATGAGCAGCGGTAGCGATCACTGAGATCTGATTTCAACGAAAATGTCTTTAACCATACCACTTTCGGCAGTATTCCAACAATTAGAAAACACATTTGGATTTATTTTTGCGATTAGTTAAGTGATATGTAGATATCTGGATGTAGGGTCGTTTTTAAAATGACCTGTAATGGGAGGTCTTCAGATAGATGAGAAGGCGGTAGCGATCAATAAGATCTGATTTTAACGAAAATGTCTTTAACCATACCACTTTCGGCAGTATTCCAACAATTAGAAACACATTTGGATTCATTTTTTATGATCAGTTAAGTGATATGTAGATATCTGGATGTAGCGTCGTTTTTAAATAACCTGTAATGGGAGGTCTTCAGATAGATGAGCAGCGATAGCGATCGCTAAAATCTGAATTCAACAAAAATGGCTTTCATCCAGCACTTTCAGCAGTACTCAAGCCATGTCTATGTGTGGTCACAAATTAGCTTTACACATTGTGTCCATGTGGAGAATCAAAGCAATTCATTGGGGAATACAACCTATAAGCTAAGCAGAATTATTAGCCTTCATGATCCCAATTGACAAGGAAGAATGTGATGATAAAAATAATCCTAACAGCCACATCAAAAGCCAACCTAGACACATTAGCCATAATATTCAATTATTTATTTTCTATTGAGAACATCTGAAGCCACCATGAGACACTGCCAATTGTGCGGTCAATGCTAATACTATCATCCTACCACTGTTTCACACTGACCAGGCCCATCTGCTTAGTGTCATGTAATATTCATGTGGTCAACACTGGCGGTCACTCAGACGTGTCTACTTAGCGAACATGACCATATGTGTGGCAACTACGGCCTTTTGTAGTTATAAAGTTCGCAAAATGTAGTCCTTGTAATGGATACAAGGAGTGCCATCATTAATTTTCATTACCTAATGCAACAGAGGTGGAATAAAATGCTCAGTCAATAAATATTAACCACATATGTGTCATCATTATTCTGTGTGTGAATCATTCATTTTGACAAAGATTTCAATATCCAACTAAAAGGAAGTTAAAGAATATTCCTTATATGACTGACTGACTGAGTTTAGTTTTACGCCACTTTTAGCAATATTCCAGCAATATCACGGCGGGGGACACCTATTCCTTATATGACTCTAGTTGATCTGTCATGGCCGAAACATTGGTTGCTGTTCCTTTGAGTGGTTTAATTACATCAGTACTGGTGAGAGGTTATATGTAAGGGGGATAATTATGTAAAATATGACACAACACCACTTTGGGGGCAAAAATAAAGATGATCCAGTTAGGAAATTTGGATAAGTTATTGGTATATTTATGCAACATTCAAGGACTTTTCCGAATAAAACATGCTGTGAAACTTCAAAATCAAAACCTTATCAAAGTTTAATTGTTATATGTGCTTACGGAAGAAATTATTCATATACCAATTTTTTGCAAACTTACATATATATACCAGCTTGTACGATGAGCGAGTGATTGTTTTGCACCATTGTTATAGTTAAGATGAAATGAACAGTAAAAAGTTTATTAAAATTATGCCACACTTGCGTGCACTCAATGTTCAATTCTCAGCTCCCTGAGGAGTATACAACCCTGTCTCATCCTATGAGGTACAAATTCACTGTATGGTGAACAGATGCATATTTGAAAAGAAAACATTTGCTGAGGGTCACAACACAGGTGTGACACATTCTTCACAGTGGGGCAGGACCGAAGACCAAGAAACAGATTGACCGTTCTCAGCTCCATGTGGAGTATACAATTCACTTGATGACTTGATGAAGGTCACAACATGTGTGACACAATCTGTAGTGTCGGACAGGACTGGAGCTGTAGAAACAGACTGACCCAGGTATATCTATGTGTGCTCTACTAGATGGTGACACCTTGAACAGGACTAGGGCAGGGACGACTGCTGGTGGCAGACATCTGGTATCCATGTGGTCAATCCATTTCACAATCTCAATCTGGGATATATGTTTAAATCATAATAACTAAATCATAATAACCGTGGGCTACCTTATACTGTAATACATTTAGGCATGAATGCATTTCTCACTCTAGGACATGATTAGACACAGTAAATGGCCTAGGTGACAGAGATGCCAAATTTTATTAATGTTCCAGTGTAATCGTGGGGGAATTTCATATAAAAATTATTTTAGAATGGTCTTCACCTTTGAGAATATCAGAAAATGGTTTCTGCTTGAACATATTCATCAGGCCTTGTCATGAGTGGAACTCATGGTCAAAGCTCCATATTCAGAAAAAGTATCATCATCAGTTGATTAACCATGGGTTTTCTTCAGAAAGACAAAGTGGAGTTTCATTTAAAGTTCTGAAGTAACATCTGCATTTATGCAGTTAGTTCCACGTCTCCACTTGCAAAAACCAATCGATAACATTACTTGTGTGTCTTTTAACATAACAACCAATCACAGACCTTGTATCACTGAGAAGAGAATATTTTAACACTATGAGAAATGAAAGCATGGCTCTCATTGGTCAGTATAGTCATCACAAAGAATGCATCATTCTGTAGTGCATTACCAATTTGCTTTAAAAAATGCAAATATTTCATGAAAAAAAAAATCAAGTATGAGGACAAATATAATAGCATAATTTTATCTCAAAATTATAACCATTATGCCAAAATGGTAACAGCTGGTATTTCTTGTAAACAGCTTTGTCAGTCTCACCTTGTTATGATATTGCAGGAGTTGCACAATAACTTTTATTTCGGAATGGTAGTTTTTTATTGATATGACTCTCATGATGTTGGCTGCGTCCTCCTGGTCTGGGTCTTCGCAGTACTTGTTGGCCAGGACCAGACACGCGTCACCTTGACGAATCTGGAAACAGAGTGAGTGAGTGAGTGATTATGTTGACATGGCAATAGTACTTGTTGGCCAGGACCAGACACGCGTCACCTTGACGAATCTGGAAACAGAGTGAGTGAGTGAGTCAGTATGTTGACATGGCAACAGGAAACAGAGGAGGAGTAGTGACACATTTTGTCCAGGACCAGAGGAAACTGAGGGTGTAATTAGTTGTCACCTAGTGACAAAACACACTTGATACTCTCATATTCTTCTAATTATTGTCAAATTATATCAAACAAAACCAATCAGGTTGTTTAAAGCAATCTTTGCAAAAGACGTTTGAACATTCCATACCTTAACCCTTTCCAAGTCATTGGCATCCATCACTGTGCCCTGGAAAAACTCAACTTGTGTAAAGTGACGTTTGAGAAGACCTTCCAATTCCAGGTCAGGCAACATCCTGGAAAGGAATAGATCCCATTTAGCGTCTCACACTCGTCTAAATGCCTTTGTTTGGGATCCTTTTCGGGACATGGGTTCTATTCAGGGTGTCAGATGAAATTTAAGATTCCAGCAGTGTCACCTCACAGTGGGTGGAAGGCCCACAATGACTATGGTATTTATTTAACAAGGTTCAAAATCGGGCAGATTTAGGTCCAGTGCTCAGTTTTACACTGGTCTATATTCACAGGATTTGACTTTTTCTCAGGTAGGTGTTTTTTTCAAATCTAGATGACATAATCTAACTTTCTTATTGAAAACCTGGATGTTCCTGAGAATTCTTATGAGAAGCGTTATTATATTTGGCACAATGCACAAAACAATTTGAAACTTAAAAGGTCTCCAGAAAAAACATTCAGTTTTTACAATTTTGACGAAAAGAATACAAATATTTAACTTCATTAAATATTTGAGCCAAATACATATAAAAGTGTTCATCAATAAGAGCAGAGCTGATGTATCTTATATATACTAAACATGCACATGTATAGAAAACGTGCATATTTACATTTTCCCCCGCCCATTTCTGGTGTCCCCCGCCGTGATATTGCTGGAATATTGCTAAAAGAGGCGTAAACTAAACTCACTCACATTTTCCCCCCAATTCACAGTAATGTTCCCATCATGTAACAATAATATGACATCACAAAATGGGGTCACAATTTAGTGACAAAATTTTTGAAGAATGTTTTGAAGCTACTCTCATTCACTCAAAATGGGCAAGAAATGACAATTTGTTTGATATATAACACCACATATCTGATGATTATGGCTTCTAAACTCTTATCAGCAGACACTGGAGCCTTTGTTTAGCAAGGTGTCATCCTAATAATTGCAAATGGTATAAAATATTGATTTTTTTTGTCATCTCAGTCATAAATACAGTTCTACAAACCGCTACATCACTGATACAAAGGCAATGACCCTACGCTAGTTACCCCAAGATAATATACTGTCATTAAACGCAGGATTAAGGTCAGTACCAGACATTGCCACTACAGTCTTCAGGCATTATCCGACAAGGAATGTCCTCCATCTTATCAAATATGGTTAATTCTAAATTTGAAATTAAATTGGACTTGCGTACTTGTGTATGAAGACAATTTCTACATCCACGTCCTCTCTATCTTTGTGTAAGAAATCCTTTAAGAAGTTGGACACCGACTCGAAGGTGATATGGCCACACACAACAATATGTCTGAAAGAGAATTCCAAACACCGATAAATGACATATTATCAAACACTCCAATCTTTAAAATAATCATTCAAAATTGATAACATTATATGCAGTTGAAATAATTCTTATTTGCTATATTGAAATATATCTGGAATGATAAAAAACACACTTTATTTATTAATAAGGCCAGACCAATTTTATTTATTGTTTTACAGATTTTTGTCCTCAGAAAATCTAGAGGCAGGAGGGAAAAAAAATAACAATAAAATCACCAGTCAAAGTAATATTCCTTCTAAATACTCAAAGTATTTTACTTTAGGCAATTTATGAAGAAAATGGAAAAACATTAATGTAGAATATGATTGAATTAACCCAGAACAGGAGTGACAAAATATAGAAGATATGATCATAGAAGTAACTGAATTTATATTACCTCTTTCCCCTTTCTTTCTTGTATGTGCCTCCGTATTTCTGTCTGCGACTCAAGATTTCTGCTATTTCAGGGATAAAGCTTGCAAACAAACCCTACAGGAGACAGGAAAGTAATAATTAAAATTAAGATTTGACAATGATCCACTTTAGTATGGAATATATCCATGTATTTGTTGGTTACATATGTTACTGATATCAAGGACTAACATGATTCATAATTTGAATCCGGGTAAGAGGCGACTAACAGGATCGGATGGTCAGGCTTGCTGGCTTGTCATCGTATTCCATTTGCGTAGATTGATGCTCATAGTGTCAATCACGGGATTGTTTGGTCCAGGATTATTTTCACACTGCTGACGTATAGCTGGAATATGGCTAAGAAGCATTAAACAATAAACAAACAAATCATAATCTGAAGGTTGATAATGGTGCTAATTAAGGATATGTTGTTAAATACATGTACAATAAACCTGAAGAAGTTAAACATAAATGGTGAGTGTTTTCTTACTTCTGTGTGCAGTTGTGTGACAATCGAAAGATGCAGGGAATTGGAATTGTACATTTTGATTTAATGTGAGTGTGTGACTTTGGTTCATCAATGATATTAGATCTCGTGTCCCACCAATCTAAGAGTAATGACAACATTTTAGTGGTTGATAATAGGCAATACATGGTCAAGGTGCTCAGTCTTGTTGGTCACAGTGAGTTTAGTTTTTTTACGCTGCTTTTAGCAATATTTCAGCAATATCATGGCGGGGGACACCAGACATGGACTTTACACATTGCACCCAAGTGGGGAATCAAACCCAGATCTTCAGCGTGATAAGCGAATGCTTTAACCACTAGGCTACACCACTGCCCCTCGCTGGTCACAGGGTGCTCTCGAGAGACTGGTCACCAGAGTCTCCATCCTTCCACAAATGGTATCAATAGCCACAGTGACCAACCCTAGATAGTCAGAATTACAAGCATCATGTCCTGATAACCATTTTTGTATCAAAGTCCCAACAAGAGATTCCTTGAAGAATAACTTGTACTTTTGGTACTTATTTTGTTTAAACAACCTCCTAGCCAATGTAAAACCTAAACGATTTCAGTAAAGATAAAATGGCACAATTAGGTAAGCGGACATGATGCACTTAACAAGGAAAAGCATCACATATTATCTTGTGCATGGTACAAACTCAACCCAGTCCATGAAGGCTCAATTAAAGATACATGAGGGATTCTGTTTGGACCTTATCTTACCAATTATCAAATGAAAAAGTTAAAATTAATGAGATTTCTCTGTATTTCATTTTCTTCTCTGATGTCCAAGCCATGCATGAATTATTCATCTCCTAGCACACTTCAAAACATATTCCCCAACACATATGCATCGATGTGTGAGTCACACAATGACACTATGGGGTGGTACATAGCAACACAGAATGCTTACATGCTTTCATAAACTGTACATATTTACCTCTTCTATACATTTTCATCCACCAGATTAATTATTCACTGAATTGATTTTGCTTGAGACATCTGTACAGAATGTCAATCACATACGCAACAATTATAGCTGACTCACATCCTGTGTATCTGATCAATTTTGTATTCAACTGATTTTCTGAAGAGAAGCAGCCATCTTGAAATATTGCACACACATTTAAAAAAAAAACTTCTTTGAAACCTATGGTAATTGGTTTATGACACAGCGAATCAATATAAAAGTCAAATTGATTTATAGAGTAAATTTTCATGTTCCTAAGGGAGTAACGCTGACAAGATAATGTATCACAATCTATCAATCTATTAATTTCCATCATGCATAAAAGTTATTCAGCTGAGGCATCGAGTGTAGATTAATATCAATATTCATGTTATTTACATGCAGAACTAGCGATTGATTATATGCAGGACCCAGAATCATTGCAAGGATAATCTCACTGATATAATCTCAAACAGTTTGCGCCAGTCTCAGCAGAGTTGGAAACTAACAGAACAATATCAGTCACGTGTTCTTAAATTGTGTTTTGATTGTCTACTGACTCTCCAAAACAGACTTAACAAATTAAGTTAACAAATTCCTGTTTTCGACAGGGGACACTAAAACAAACTCTTATGCAGATCAATACATATTCAAATGTTCAATAGATCAATTAATCTGTTCTGTGTGTTCTCTATCACAACTGTCTAATCAAAGACTTTATCAGTGCCATGTTTTTAAATTGTTTTCATTTTCTACCAAATCTCCACAACAGACTTATCTAACAAGTTCTACAGGGGACACTAAAACAAACTCTTATGCAGATCAATACATATTCGAATGTTCAATAGATCAATTCATCTGTCCTGTGTGTTCCTTATCACGACTGTCAAACCTCAGACTACATCAGTGCATGTGAGATGTTCTTAAATTGTTTTCATTAGCTACCAACTCTCCACAACAGACTTAACAAACAAGTTCTACTTGCCACACTAAAATAAACTCTTACATAGATCGATACATTTTCAAATGTTTAATATATCAATTAATACGTCCTGTGCATTCTCGAACAAGGCTTGTCTTATTGATGTTTTATTTTATGGCCTGGCTTATTGATGAATAAGGGAAGGTCCAATCTGATTTTAATGTTAACTTCTCGACATTGATGTATGAGAAATGCTTTGATGCATGGAGAATGTTTTTCCTTTTTTGATTTTTTTTTCAAGCCACGCAATAACCGTGTTTGTTTCCGTTCTTTCTTTACATGAACTGAATCATTTATGGACCTTTTGAAAAACTTGTAGTGAAGGAAAACAAAGTTTTATGTTTATCAATTCCCAAGATGACAAAGATCACAGCAGAGGTAATGTGGTTGCATAGTACTTAGAACATGACAAAATAATTTATACCTAGATTGTCAAGGGATTGTTCACACAGCATAATAGTCATAGACTGGGACAGCAGAAGAAGCCTAGTTTTTTATTTTATACCATATAGCTGGTAAAAGTTGCTATAGTATATTTGTGATGGTATTTTTGAGTTGCTAGGGTAACTTGTGGTGATAATTTTGAGTTGCTAGAGAACTTAGTGATAATTTTGAGTAGCAATAGGAATTTGTGATGATAATTTTGAGTTGCCCGAGTATTATGTTGCTGACAATTTTAAGTTGCCCTAGTATTATGTCGCTGATAATTTTAAGTTGCCCGAGTATCATGTTGATGATAATTTTGAGTTACTTGATTAATATGTTGCTGATAATATGTAAGTTGCCTGAGTAGTAAGTTGATGATAATTTTAAGTTGCCAGAGTAATTTGTGATAATTTTGAATTGCCAGAATAATGTTTGTTGATAAAAGATGCAAGAGAAATATGTTAATGATAATTTTGAATTTTGTTGGGATTGGTTCTTTGGAAAAAATGAACAAAAGCAGTGAAAAAGATCTTTATCACTGACGGAATACGTCTATTTTTCACATTAAATTCTGTGTTGTCCACCAAGACCACAGCAGATGAATGATCACATTCTGTAAAGTATCACATTTCCTATTTCATTAAAAAGTATATATTAATAAAAAAAGCAACAAAAGTTTTCCATAACCATAAGTAATCCCTGCTAACAGAAATCTCTGACTCAATTCCAACTATATCCTAAGCAGGTGTTTATGAATCATTATCACACAATAAAGATATATGCCACATGAATCTACTACATAGCTTTCAATGTGTGAAATATCATGATTAGATAGAAATCTTGCTCACCTGTTACCTACAATACAAATTTAATAAGTTTAGATGTATGTCAACCTTTAGATTAACAACTAGTCTCTGAAATGTACATATTTGACAGAAAAAAAGCTCATAGTGAAAAAAACAACAACAAAATATAATAAAGGAGCCCTGAGACTTTCTTCATTTTCCTGAAGCTGTGGAAATCTAGACTTGCCAAATTTTCTAGACTTGCGTGGGATTTCTTGGATATATTTGCTTCAGGGTCTGTATGACAGACTAGTCTACCAGCAGAGTTCTCAATTGTGTCTGTGTCAGTTTAATTGTCAATGAGTAAAAATGAAATTTATCAATCTGAGCCATGACCACAGACTTACACTTAATTTCCGAAATTATATAATTTTTAAAGGAACAAAGAACTCCATATAAATTAAAAAGGAGCCCTGGGAGGATGAGATTCAGATCCTGAGGAAAATCTAGACTTGCTTAATTTAGGGCTTTTGTATTAGAGTAAAGGTTGGGTGGATTAGAAACAGATTTGATCCAGGGACTGGTAGAGACTATCCTGAGTAATGCAGTGAGTGTGTGTGAGTTTCGCAGGGTATGAAACTCACAAAAATGTCAGCCAGACCACAGCGCTGATACGATGACAAAAATCTACAGTCAGCAAGCCGGACCACCTGATCCTGTTAGTCGCCTCTTACGACAAACATGTGTTGCTGAAGACCAATTCTAACCCGGATCTTCACGGGTCATTAAAAGTAAGGAAACTTAGGTATAATGCAAAAAATCATAAAGAGGATGACTATGGCTTCGTATCAAACCCAAATAACTGATGTGACTAGCAAACACTTTATCTACTTGGCCAGTGAATCCTCCTCACAAAAAAGCAAAACTTACAATGCTTATGAGGATAAAAAAGGTGACAAAGGTCCGCCCCAGAACAGTTGTTGCGTAGACGTCTCCATACCCTACGGTTGACATGGTTACCAACAGGAAGTAGAGGCACTCCCAGTAGGTCAACTTTTGGGGATTCGAGAAATTGAAGAAAAAGTCTCCAGAATTCTCAATCTGAAATGACAAAAAACAAACATCAACAATGGGAAGTGGAAACTGAGAAACATTAAAACGGTTTGTGAGAAGTTTGCAACAATTTTTTACAATGTCTATCATAAAAATGACAATACCTTACTTTTCATAATAATAATAATGGCCATTCATAAAACACCTGTTTACACACACTTGTGCGTGCTCAAAGCCCTAAAGATAATGGGTAGCTCATGTGAATACTAGAAAAAGTTGTTTCACAAACGATCATTATTTTGTCACTTTTCGCTATTTCTTATGAGGGAGGACCACTTGTTGGTAGAACAGCCAGGTGTGCACGTTGTACATGTGAAATTGAAATTTCACTGCACACGCTTGTTTATTACCTGGCTGTTCTATCAGCAAGTGGTTCCCCCTTGTAAGAAATAGCAAAAAGTGACAACAAAATAATGATCGTTTATTAAACAACTTTTTTATTCAGGTGTCCAGAATTATGAGACGAATCATTAGAGTTGGTCTGTCGATTTCATGTGACTGCAAAATTTGGTTTTGTTGCAAGTATTAGGTTTTGTGTTAGTGAGCAATTCAAAGGTCTAAAATGAAGTCAAACGGACTATACATCAATGACACATAAAGAAATTGCTTACAATCATAACATCAACATGAATGACCTATTACTGGACGCTATTTCTTTGCATGCATTCTACACACTTAAACATGAGCTCTCGAAAATGTATCTGAAGGCTACTTTTTGAGCAATTACATAGCATCCTACAAGTAAGGGTACTTAAAATCACCAGCAGTGTTTTACTGCTATGGCTTGATAGTGTTTTATTTTATTTGCTTGTTGATAACATTCCACTCAATAATATTTCAGCCATTATGCTATATAAATATCCAATAATAAAATAATAATAATAATAATTATTTGAAAGACATTGAAATGTGCTGTGGTGAAGAATGATGGAGAGGTGAGGTGAGGTGAGGTGAAATTTGGTTTTACGTCGTGCTTGAGAATATTTCGCTCATATGACGACGTGCATGCATGTGTATGTGTATGTGCGGCTGCTTGTACTAGCCCAGACTTAAGCTGGTTTTATAGTGCTAGCCCACTGAGATACCATGCCGCAGTGAAGCATGAATACCCCACCCAGACACATTATACTGACTCCGAGCCGACCAGTCCCTGTTGTACCCATTAAATCTGAGCGCCAGGCAGGGACCAACAAGTACCATATTTTAATGTCTTTTGGTATGATGCGGTCGGGGATCGAACCCGCGACCTTCCGCTCTCCAGGCGGACGCTCTAACCACTACACCATGGAGGCGTAATGATGGAGAGAGAGGGAGCAGATGTTCCATCATGGGATGGTGGAATTACGTAAACAGCTATTACTACCACCTGGGATGCTATTGTAATATAACATAATAATATATGTGAATACAGACCTATAGTAACTAACAACACTAAACAACACTTAAAATATCATGTCTGGACAAAACAATCAACCAAGATATTAAGCCTTGCCACTTGATTCATTATGCACAAATTTACCTGGAGTCCTGTATTTGAGGGTCTCGGGGACTCATACTCTTAATTTTCAGGGTCCTGGGACAACAAAATGGGGTCCCAGACACTTAAATATTATTATTGATACTGTTATTGTATTGTGTATCATGATCATTGCATTGTTACAGTAATTAAATTGCAAATGTTACCATAACCCAGCTAGCAGCAAACTCAGTGATAACTTATTGTTACTTGATTGGAATTTTTACAAAAAGTATTTGGACTTTTTCTTCGTTCCTGTGGATGCGCTAATAAATATTGTTGCATCCACTGTCAATTTTTATGCATACAGGATGCAGGAATTCGTGTCCTATAAATCCCTGATTATGGTTGCCCATACTAATTCTCAATAAGAATACCAACGGGGATATCACAGAGCAAGTATTACTATGTGACATTAAAGTACTTCTACCTTCAGACATTTGCAATTGTAAATAACATTGGTTGGTTGTTCAGGTTCGCTTGTTTAAGGTCGACTCAGCAATACTGGTGTTTTATGGCGGTGACCTTTAAATTACCGAGTCTGGACCAGACAATCTAGTGATCAACAGCATGAGTATCAATCTACACAATTGGCATGCTATGATGTAAACAAGGAGTTTATGTTCTTGAAGCTTATGATTATATTATCTTGCCGATTTTACATTCCGTCTTATGCTTGGTAACCGCAGTCCAAATTATATTTCAGCACTACCAGGAGATGGATGGAAATGCTTTCAGGGCATGAGGAGTTCTATTAGAAGCAAACTGACTGAACTCCTTCACAGCTGGAGAATGACTCTTATGAGAAATGATTTGCATTAAAATCAATTACTTTATTGATCAATCTAATTTTATCCTGTTCTCTTCAGAAAACTGTAAAATTTGCTGCAGTGAAATGACACTGTGGATCAAGTCTTATGAGCAATATTGAGAGTGTGTTAAGTTTTATGCCTGTGAATGAGTTTGGTTGAAATCTGCTTTTAGCAGTGATTCATGGAGATCATGATTCTCAGTTTGATGTGGTAATCAGATGAATCTGGAAATAGAACCAGGGTGCAGTGAACCTTGATAAGTAGAAGCAAATATGCAGAGTACATTGATGCCTCTTCACCAGAATCACTTACATTTTTACATTGACAATTGGTATCACCATATCATGATCTTGAAACTGAATTTTTTCTAGTCAAGAATTCACAGCAATAGTTAACACTCAAATTACACATCTACAACCCAAACCATTCCATAATGCAAACATAGCTTGTGAAATGGATCAAGACACTACGTTTTTCTTTTCCAGGTCTGCATGTTAGTGGTAGTGAGAGTTATTTCCCCTGGTCAAATACTTGCATCCTGAGATAGGAGTTCTGTCCATCTAAACCTGAACTGTGCTTGACTTCTTATCAGACGCCAAAATATATCTTTATGCCTTAAGTCTGAGGCTTGATCAGAATGAAATATCAATGATTAGACATTGATGTTATTCCATACTCATTCGCTTTATTTGACCCTCAGAGGTTTTGGTTTGTCTTGTAGGGCACAAAGGACTATGGAACGTTGGAATCTCCACTGATCTTAAGACAAAACAAATATCTCAGGATAATACATAACTAGGAATCAAATAATTTGAACATATCTGTGCGTGACCATACAGAAAAATTTATGAAGGTGTTCAAATGCTGTGATGTCACACCTCAGGGAGATAACCATGTATATATCTGGGCCTACCACAAGGAATTATTAGCTATGACTTTGAAATTTTTTAATCTCTTTCATTCTGTATGTATCTGTGGTACCCACAGGAAACTGGCAACCATAATCCAGAGGGAACGTTTATGACATAATTAAATAATTTGTAATGGTCAAAATCATGTCCCATTGGTGTTCAGAGTGGCTTATGGTCAAAATGAGCTTGGTGTGAAAATATCATGCAGTCTACAGTATTTATAGTTTCAGGCCTGTGTCAGTTTCTCACCAGGTGGAGGAAGCCAGCCGCGGCGAGCCAGAGACTGACGAAGTATGCCACCAGCTGGACAAGGCGGATCATGGTGCTGGTCTTGAGGATGTTGAGGTACGTCAAGATGTCCGGGATGGACATCAGCCGCAATGCTCTCAGGAACCTCAAACCTGGAAGACACAAGAGAGACATAGTTACATCATCTGCAACACTCCCAGAAACCTTGGGATTGGTCCCTGTGATACAGTCCTCAAACCAAAGTAATCCCCCTTCCTCTTATCATTGACATCAATGCTAAGACAGTCTGACATAGTTATCACGGACAGACAGACATCAGTGACAAGACCTAGTATTTTGTTTCTTTCTTTTTTAAGGCCAGACTCAGATATGTTCCAGTGTTATGTTGGAGGCTTTTAAATAATCAAGTCTGGACCACTCAATTCCGTTAGTTGCCGCATATCCATCCAGTAATTAAAACTGACCATATTTTTCAATATTTATCGGTCTCTTTTTCAACACAATGACTTGTGCTGAATGTGTGCAGATATATTTTCAAGTAGGTGACGGAACTGGGGTTGGTGTGTTCACCTTCCTGTACTCAGAAAAGGAATTGGTTAACCTAATCCAAATTTGTGTTTGTATTTTGGCCTCATGATCATACTGTGCCTATATATGCACTCTAATGGCTATTACTGACCTGGTTATTTTTTAAGACAATATAACGTTACCATGGAAGTGTATGGGAAAACATTTGGTTTTGTGTAACCACAAATATAAAGCTTCACCCAGCTAAGGGACACAACTCTGCACAGTGAGCTGCATTTCCTTCAGGCAAAAGGTGAGCCGTGCTGCCCCCTGGTGAGTAAATGTCAAGGCTAATCTGTTGGCTTTTTAAAGCATGGCATCCTAATGGAAAGCATAGCCATCCCATATATTTCCTCTAACTCAAACTTGACATCTCAGCCATCAGATCGCAACAAGTATGACATAATGGCCTCATTACACACAACTGTTGTAACCTTTACAAGCGTAAGCAAAGTGTGTGTGTCACGATAATTATCACTCGATGATAAGGTTCATAAATATTCTTTATGTCAACAAAACTAATTCAGCTCTTCATCTCTCCCACTTGACCGACGCTCACAAATGCTCCAAGTTCTGTTTTAATGTCACATCGCTCATTAGGCAATGCATTGTGTGAGCTCTGTGTTGATTGATGTTGGCCATAACTTTCAAGACCATGGAGTATCCTACTGGGTGAATACGGCTTTATATCCTTTACAGCAATATTGCAGCAATCTCACAGTAAGGGACACTGTGAATGGGTTCACACATTCTGCCAATCTGTAGAATCATTGTCAGGCATACTCTAACGATGGTGCCACCAAGCTGACGCTTATAAACTTCATCACACACTATGGATGAGTGAGGGAGTATCGCTTTACATGGCTTTTAGCAACATGGGAGCAAACAGACACCTAGGTTTGGCGTCAGACATTGAACCATATTGGGAATCAAACCAGAGTCTCTGGTGTGACAAGCAAATGCTTACACCACTGTGCCCTTCAATTACAATCACAAGGGGTGTGAGTGTTTTTGTTTACAATACCCCAGCAGAGGTTAGTTGACTGAATTAGAATTTGGTAGTTCTGTGATTAACTAGTCTCTGCCGAAACAGACCGCCTCCATGGTGTAGTGGCACCTCACCTCTGCAGTAAAACATGTTATGGCATGGCTAGAGTGTAGCAGTTTGTGAGTGAGTGAGTGAGAGGGTGGGTGAGAGGGCGAGGTGGGGAGCAAGCGAGCAAGTAAGTGAGTGAATGAGTGAGTGCATTTTCCGGCAAGTAAGTGTTTCAATACTCAGGCCACCTCTAACAAGTAATTGAGAGAACAGGCTTCACACATTGTTCCCGTGTGAGGAACAGAACAAAAGTCTCCCTCAAGGGAACACTCCTGCAGATGTGAATTTAAATGCTTTCAAATCAACTTGAAGAGTTACAAAATACTTTGCTTACAGTCTACCTGCTTACATTTATAAAAGAATCATTAAATAAAACTGCCCTATGTACGCATCCAACTCTTACAGCTGTTTCTGCACTTCAGGAGAAGCCGTACACACTGATTAGTGACTGATAAGATAAATAGGAATAAGTCTCCGAGGCATGCTGCCTGCTTGGTAGCGTCTTCATTCAGGAAAACTTTAGATGCAAACAGCTGCTTTTCTGCCCATTTTGAAATTACTTTCTTAATCTTTTAGTGTTTCAAAGAGGTAAGGGAATATGTGAGTGAGTGAATTTAGTTGTACGGCACTCGGATAATCAAGTGCACTCAGCAATATTCCAGTTGTATGGCAGCGGTCTATGGATAATCAAGTCTGGACCAGACAATCCAGAGATCAACAGCATGAACATGGACCTATGCAATTGGGATATGATGACATGTGTCAACCAAGTCAGCGAGCCTGACCACCTCCGATCCAGTTGCCTCTTACAACAAGCATGGGTTGCTGAAGATCTTCTAACCTGGATCTTCATGGGTTGGTATGGGAATAAATCCACCATGGATGTTATCAGAAACTATTTCGTTTTGTTGACATGTCATATCAGACAGAATCAGACTGATACACAATTGACTAGCAGGTACTAGGGCTGGCTAAATAGAGAAGTAACTTTAAGCCAAAATGCCAAAATGCCCCCCCCCCAAGGAATATGAATGAGTTGTAACTGTTTTTGCATGGATTTTTTTCAGCGTCTTGAACATAATTTAGAAGCAGACCATGAATAAAGTCCTACTTTCGTATATTATGTAAGAAAATAAAAAAGAATGTTAATGTACGATATTATCGACAAACCCAATTTTCCTATCGATAATCATTAATAATTTTTCCTATCGACAATATTTCTGATTATTGATCATTTTAGCGAGCCCTGGCAGGTACTACTGTTAATTCCCTCCGGTCACACATACAGTCTGTAATCGGATTAGATTAATGCAATGTTACTCAGTGGCAACTTCCTCTGGGGTTAAATAAGGGTAATACTTGGCAAATTTTCTATTCCAATCATAGCATGTAAAATTCAGTAACAGCATTCTTGGAGTGAGTTGGTATATCGGTAATTTCCACTGTGCCTCTTACAGCCATGATCATCTGGGAGCTGGTAGAGCGACTAGGTCATCCTGTTGCCGTAACTACAACAAGATGGCATCATGGGATATCTCAAACAATTCTCATTGTCAGATCGACACAAAAGACACGACACTTCATTAGACATGTGAGGAATTCTAAATCCCGACACAGCATTCAATTACCCTAAACCGACTTCTCGTCTCACTTCAACAGATTGTGTAGACGAACAAGGATGCATTATTCACTGCATCGTCGTGTGCAGCATCCCCATCCTTGCACATCCACGGTATTACGTCTCCATTCTGTTATGATAAATAGCCTCGATCCATTTGCCACCTTAACTTTATTTTGAATCTTGTCAAATGAAACAATCCTTGAATGAGTCACCTAATCAAATAATACTGATTGTAACAAGCAGCCATATTACTGATACTTGAGCCACTTTGTGAAATAATACAGCTCAAATACTACCAGGAATGCCTGACTTCCATCTTCTTATCTTGGAACCCAGGAAACATGTTTCCCAGCCAAACCTTCAGCTACAAATCTTTTGTTTCTGTTTGACATATTGATGGTTTATTTACACCAGGCCAGTCATTTTGATGACTAACATTCAGAAAGGTAAATAATTGGTTATTGAGTGGTGGAAATCTGTGCTAAGTGATAAGCAGGAGGAGATGGCGAGGTCACTTCAGCAACAAAGTGGTGAATGGGCCCATGGTGTTTATCATTATGGAATAGAGATAAAATACCCTAGATCATAGAGGATGAGAACTGTTATGCTGTATTGTCATGAAGCAGTGACTAGTGCCAGTGTAGCCCAGTGGTTAAATTGTTCACTAGTAATGCTGAAGAGCTGGGTTCGATTCCCCACATGGGTACCATGTGTGAAGCCCATTTCAGGTTTTTCCCCGCTGTGATATTGCTGGAATATTGCTAAAAGTGGCATTAAACTAACCTCACTCACTCACCAGTGTCAAGAAACATGTCTATGTTCAGGTTAACGAAACACATTTATAATTCCGTAGATCATACAGTGGCTATCATCACTCATTCAATGCTTTGATTGCCATTATAACACAGGTTCCCAACAAGTACAATGGGTAATTCCCATTTCTGGTGGACAAAAATACTGTATAGAAATATTTTCACTCAATCACCCTTAACAACTAATGCACCTGATAATTCAGCAACAATACCTTATCACTGTTGCTGCCTCATTAAGCAATCATTACTCACTCACATACTGATAAAATTTTGCCAGTGTTTTGTTTTTTTAACACCATTCAGCAAGTATTCCATCTATAAAATAGAAGCCAGTAAATCTGGACCAGACAATCAAGTGATTGATATTGAAAAACCAAGAGACCAATTCACTGAACCTGACAGCCTAAAGCATTTTCTGGACGGAGTCTTGGGACTTATTCTAACAAAGAACCTCTATAGGGTTGCTGCCCATGTAGAATGAGTTTAGTTTTATGCCGCTTTTAGCAATATTCCAGCAATATCACGGCTGGGTACACCAGAAATGGGCTTTACATATTGTGAGTGAGTGAGTTTAGTTTTATGCCGCACTCAGCAATAATCCAGCTATATGGCAGTGGTCTGTAAATAATCGAGTCTGGACCAGACAATCCAGTGATCAACAGCAATTGGGAACCGATGTCAACCAAGTCAGCGAGCCTGACCACCCGATCCCGTTAGTCGCCTCTTACTTCACATATTGTACCAATGGGAGGAATCAAACTTGGATCTTTGGCATGACATGTGAACGCTTAAACCACTAGGCTACCATACCACCCCTCTGCCCATGTTGAAGCTAAGTAATTATCACAACACTCATACAAGAAAATACTAAATGTTTCATAAGACTCTAGACAGGGAATTTCATCGTCATAGAAAGTGTACATCGATCAAATGATTTTTTCCGAGCATTCAATATTCCATTCCAGATTGACAGTCCCGGGGGAGATGATCGGAGAGTTCAGCTTTAGCATATTTCCCCTGGGTGGATCAACATCTTATCACATAGACTCCTGGCGACGATATCAGACCCCACAATCAGTTTTTTTTATATCTAACATGATGCTTTCATGATTTATTCTGTCAACAATATGTGCTGCTTTCCTAAACACACATAATAAGATAACATCAGCCTCTGAAATATAGCACTGTTTAAATTAAATTGAACATATAGGATTAATTCCTTTGGGTACTCTGATAAAACATTATTGAAATCGAAAATAATTTTCAGTCAATAAAACATGAACCTATCTCAAAAGAACATTCAATTTCTAGTCACTTGGGACAATGCACATTCAATAATCATAATATCAAATGTTTAGAATAAATACAAATAGAATGCAAATAAAAATGTAGTTTTCATACTTGACTGACTGACTGAGAAGACAAGAGAAGAGATCATGGTGGGAAACACCAGAAATAGGCTTCACACACTTGTACCCATGTGGGGAATCAAACCCGGACCTTCAGTGTGACACTTTAACCATTAGGCTACCCTAACCCCCAGGATTTATGACAACGATCTGTGGATAATGTAGTCTGGACCAGACAACTCTGTGATAGACATCTGATGAACATTGATCTATGCAGCTGAAGCATGATAACCACCATTACCAAATCAATGACTGACACCTCAATCTCAACAGTACCAACTCAGAGTGAGTGAGTGAGTGAGTGAGTTTCAATGACCATTATTTAGGTAACAACACAACATGTCAGCATAACAAGGTATCCAAAGTCTTGATATTACCATCATGGAGTGGACAGATCAAGGATAATTATGATGACATAGGGATCTAGACTCATGATTAGAGCATCCTGACATAACTAAGGGAGACAACTGCACAGAATAAGGACCCAAAGTAATGCCGGTCTTTGATAACAGTACTTACAAATCAAGGATCATTATAATCAAAAGTACTAATTTGGACTCATGATCAAGGGATTCTGGCTTGACTAAGTGAGACAACTGCACAGAATAAGGACCCAAAGTAATGCAGGTCTTAACAAACGATCATAGTTTCAAATTGTTATTATTGGTTTGTATTACAAAGGCGTATGCACATTAGATGAAACACCGAGAACAAGTAGGGCTGGTCTAAGTTAACGCTCATCACATACCGCCGCGTTTTGTTTCACTCCATCTACTAAAAGCTTTACCCTTGTAATACAAACCAATAATAGCGATTTGAATCTTTGATCGTTTGTTAAACAACTTTTATCCTAAGTTGAATAAAATTTTGAGATTTAAATGTTCATTTGGCAATGTAAAATCATGAGGATTCTCAATCTTAATTTCACTTAATTTGATTTACTTTTTTGTTTAAAGTGAAATTCATCGGTACGTTTTCACTGCAAACAGGCTATAATTTGGACTCATGATCAGAGGATTCTAGCATGACTAAGGGAGACAACTGCACAGCAAAAGTGGCTGCTCAGACAACTGAGTCAACAGTGCCCTACATAAAATGTCATTATCTGATCTATTACAATTAGGACTATTAGATAGTGAAATGTATGTCATATTGAAATACATAAAACATTAAACTAATGAAACTATCATTCAATCAAGCTTAAGTTTTGAATAACACATCTAAATAACAGTATTCCATTTGAATACACTTAACCGACCTTAACTTCAAGGTGAACATAGTAATTTAACAAAAAATAATAAAAACGCAAGCCAGGTGTTACTTTAAAAGTAGTATCATGTTCAGATCAAACAGAATATTAAGCCAATCTATGAATATATTGATTTGGATAGTCTAAATGACCACAAAATGAAAATGTAACAAAGGATATGTGGATCTAGTTCACCATATATCTTGTTTCAGCTCCTGCTGTGGTTTGAGAGAATTACAGGAGTGTGTATTGAGGTGAAAAAAATGTGTATCAAAACATATATACTCTTGAAAATTCACATGTCGAAAACAATTATAAATTTCTTTTAAAATGAATAATAAAGTATTCTCCTTCACTGCACATTTGATCTTAGCCCCTGATGTACAGCTATTTCTATCAATAAATTTGAATTCAAAGAATATAAAAAACTAGAACTCTACTCTTGCTTATGCAACATTAAACAAACATTTCAATTCAGTTCTATTTTATTTTAGAAGCAAAAGAAAGCGTGTACAATGCAACTGCTGATGTCTTCGATCTTAGACATCATCTTTGAATGTGCTTTTTTGGCACATTACATTAATTGATTATTTGTTGTTTAACACTGCACTCAATGATAGTTTTAGGCCGCACGCAGCAATATTCCAGCTATATGGCAGCAGTCTGTAAATAATAGAGTCTGGATCAGACAATCCAGTGATTCACATCATGAGCATTGATCTACGCTAATGGTGATACAATGACATGTGTCAACCAAGTCGGCGTGCCTGACCACCCGATCCCATTAGTCGCCTTTTACGATAAGCATCGGGGAATCGAACCCGAGACTTCAGCGTGACAAGCGGAAAGGTGGAATAACCCATTGCCCGACACCCCAGTCCAGTGTTTTTTTCTGTCGGGCAAGCAAATTTGTATATCATGCTGTACCGGTGTTCAGCTGACTTTCCAATGTTAATTATGTTGTCTATTTATAATATCAACAAGAAAATCGGCCGGTATAGTGGAAAGTGATTTTACACGTGCCACTGTACTGGAGTACACTAGCAATTCTAAAGTTATTTCCACCCCTGTTAGGCTACCCCATCGCTACGGACACCTGCATAAGCTATGGAGTAATATACTAAATGATACTTGATATGGCTTTCATGACACGCTGTTACATCAGAATTCTCTAATCAAACCACAGTAATCCACATGGAATAGCATAATTAATATTTGAATAATATAATTAACATTAGAATTTTATTGAGACATTGCGTCAGGTGTGAAAATGAGTGAGTGAGTGAGTGAGTATGGTTTTATGCCGCTTTTAGCAATATTCCAGCAATATCACAGCGGGGACACCAGAAATGGGCTTCACACATTGTGCCCACGTGGGGATTCGAACCCGGGTCTTCGGCGTGGCGAGCGGATGCTTTAACCACTAGGCCACCCCACCGCCCCAGGTGTGGATATGCACAGCAACAGGATTCATTAATGTATAACAACAATAGAAAGAACACCAAATTTTTACATTGTTTTCATTGTACATCTAAAGAATCTTTCTTTTACCAAATGTGACAATGGTACTCATGTCTTGTATTATACAGATAAAGGGAATTCTGAAGGCTTTCACAGACACCAACGTTGTCATTACATATACAAAATGTCAACATTTTGAATAAACAACAAATGGGTTGGGTTATATGTAATTCAGAACAGTCTTTCTGTTACATCACAGAATAATGGGTTTTCAGAAGTGTTGAAATTTTAGTGCATGCATCTATAGATTCATGAGGGAGTGAGAACAATTGTATCAGCAAGAAAATCACCAAGAACATGTAAAAATGATATTTAACATAAAGCACACAATATTTCAAAATAATAAATAAATATATGATGGAGAACTTTGTGGTATTAAGGCAAGAACAGACATATCCAATATGGCTGCAGCAGATGTCATATTTGAAATGGAAATTCTCTCCACAAGATCAGGAGATATATACTGTCATGGCTCGATTTAAGAGATGTTAACCTACTTGCACCAGGTGCAACCTAAGATAAAAACCTAGTTGCACCAGTCAAATTCTAGTTGCACTTCCTTAAATTACAATATGTAATGAAAGAAATATGCTATTGAATCATTTAGATGTCTTATTCAGAAGTTTACCCACTCAAAAATTGACTTGCACATGGTGTGAGTTACACTGATAACTATGTTGCACTATGTAATATTAGGCTGCACCAGTACAAGTCACAAAGCACTAAATTAAGCCCTGACTGTATATACTGCACAAAAAAGTTAGGGAACATGAAATACCAAAACCTTTCCCCTCCAAATATTCATGTTGCATAACTATTTTTGTTCAGTATATATAAAGGATAAAACTTAATGACTTATAAATAGACTGTGTCCCATTACATATTACACCCACTATCATGTGTGCAAAAAATTCATAATACATAGAAAAACAGCAAACTTTCCCCAATGACCCAAAGAAGCTAACCATGAATCATTCTGAGAGAGGTGTCTTTGAATAGTGGTTAAAGACTTTGTTTCTGTTACTTTCCCAACACCAGCAATTTTGTCATCTATTTAAAACACATTCTTAACTGAACATCCTTCACATCTGGTGAACAATTTTTCCATTTCTTCTTGTAAAACATGAAACATCCTGACACATATTACTTTTTAAAAACTCCCAGCCTCTCTAAAGCGGCCGCACACGCACGCGCTCACACACACACACACACACACACACAGAGCCTCTGAGTATCTAACTGACACTGGGTAAATTCTCACCTAGCCAGTTTCTGTCCAGGTAGATGGCCACGAAGGAAGGGGGGATTGTGAAGTAGTCCACAAACGAGAACAACTCCAGCCAGAACCATAGCTTGTCGTTGGCTGCCACAAACTGCAACAGAAACAACATGGACATGAGCAAAATGTTTTTGGTTAGATTGTTGTTTAACGTTGCAATGTTATAGATATATCGGTATATGATGGTCTGTACATAATGGAGTCTGGACCAGACAATCCAGTGATTGACATCATGAGTATTGATCTACGCAATTGGGATATGATGAAGTGTGTCAACCAAGTCAGCAAGGCAGACCACCCAATTCAGACAAGCATTGGGTTGCTGACCACCCAATTCTGTTAGCTGTCTCTTATGACAAGCATTGGGTTGCTGAAGACCAATTCTTAAAATGGTTGTGACTTCATTGGTCTGGTAGAGACAAAATGGACATCAATAAAACAAAGTGGTTGTGACGTTCAATGACATTAAAATGGTAGTGACCTTCATCATTAAACGGTTGTGAGTGGTAGTGATCTTCATCGACATTATCAAAATGGTTGTGACCTTCATCAAAACGGTGATTGGTGTGACCTTCAATAGACATTAAAATGGTAACCTTCATTAAAATGGTAGTGACCTACATTGATGACAATAAATTTAAAATGGTTGTCACCATTTTCAATAGTAATAGTATGTTTCTGCTAAACAATTAGAGCCACATAGACATACATCTAAAATATCTCATCTACCATGATGAATGACCATTGTCACAAGTCAGTGCAGAACTAGAAACATTCCCCTGCACAATTTAGACTGTATAGTAGTATTTCACATCAAGAACCCGTGAAGGTCCGGGTTAAAATATTGATCTTCAGTAACCCATGCTTGTCGTAAGAGGCGACTAACGGGATCGGGTGGTCAGGCTCGCTGACTTGGTTGACACATGTCATCGGTTCACAATTGTGCAGATCGATGCTCATGCTGTTGATCACTGGATTGTCTGGTCCAGACTGAATTATTTACAGACCGCCGCCATATAGCTGGAATATTGCTGAGTGTGGCGTAAAACTAAACTCACTCACTCACATCAAGACCTTTCTTACATTGAGAAAACCTACAATTTATTGACATAACTGTCAATTCTTGATTACCACACTGCCGAGTCCTGGGCTTCAACAAGCCCCCAGAAACAATTCATCATCTAGGAGAATCCCTGTTGTAATGAGTGCCATTTCCTGGCTAAGCACTTAATAAGGTCATCCTGTATTCTAAATAGCACAGCAATCCGCTCCTGGAGGTTGTCAGATTGATCTAGGAACATAGCTGTTCTCTGTTCTATTGAGTTACATATTGTAGAACATTCTTTGGTCAGGAATTCTGGTTCTGCTTGCACTATCAGATCAATGCAAAGTGAGGTGAGGCTTAAAGTAAAACTGATAATGCAGCGGAATATATATTACACACATGATCTTGATAATAATTATGTGCATATTTCTGTATGGAACGGATAATAATTAGTGCTGGGTTCTCAAAATAATAGCATCAACTTGATATTATGATATATATGTATAGATAGTGAGTGAGTGAGTATGGTTTTATGCCGCTTTTAGCAACATTCCAGCAATATCACGGCGGGGGATGACAGAAATGGGCATCACACATTGTACCCATGTGGGGAATCGAACTGGGTCTTCGGCATGAAGAGCGAACGCTTTAACCACTAGGCTACCCCATCGCCCTTTAGTTTGATAACTCAAGCTATTTATACACATGTGTTGAAACCTACACTGTCTACATCAGCATCACCTACATTAGAAGTTAGTGACTAATAAACACTGAGCACACCTGAGAAGGGTCCCAAAGAGACCCATCACACCTCATTGGCAGGTGCCCTGACCTCGGTCTGACCTCCAAGACAACTATTGCATTGGTGATCTCCAGAGACACAATGTAACTGCATATTGACTGCAACAAATAGTCTCTCTCACACTCCCTGAACCACATTATTTTCCCTACAGCCTAGCCCTCCCTGCCATGCTAAAACCCTAAATAAAGTCAAGATTTCCCCAAATTCAGGATCTCTGGTCTCCCTGGAGATCCTTTTCAAACTATAGTCCGTTTGACTTCTTTTGAGACCGATGAATTTCTCACTAACAAAAAATCTAATAAGTGCAACAAAATTTTGCACAGTCACATGAAATCAACAGACCAACTCAGATGATTTGTCTCATAATTTTGGACACCGAAACAAAAAAGTTGTTTAATAAACGATCATTATTTTGTTGTCACTTTTCGCTATTTCTTATGAGGGAGGACCACTTGTTGGTAGAACAGCCAGGTGGCAAGGTGTACGTGTGAAATTGAAATTTCACTGCTCACACGTGTTCATTACCTTGTTCTACCAGCAAGTGGTACCCCCTCAAAAGAAATAGCAAAGAGTGATAACAAAATAATGATCGTTTATTAAACAACTTTTTTATTCGGGTGTCCAAAATTATGAGACAAATCATCAGAGTTGGTCTGTCGATTTCATGTGACTGTGCAAAGTTTTGATTTTGTTGCATTGTTTAGATTGTGTGTTAGTGAGCAATTCATCGGTCTCAAATGAAGTCAAACGGATTGTAAATGGGTTTATTTGTTATGATCAAAATTATATATATTCAGAAACTAAGCGTTAGTCTACGTAACAAACATCCGAATCAGCTTTATTGTTCTGGCTTTCTTTCTTTAACACTGGATGCCTTCCTTGGGGACAAACACCTTAGGTGAAACAAACTCATTCTGAATGTGATGAATCATCATTGAAAGTTACACTTACATTGCTACCTGGGGACTACATGATTAAATAGGTCCCATCAACCAGCACCAGCCATATAGAAGATGTAATGAAACATTCAGCAGACTCGGGGGACTGATGTCATCGCTGCTCACAGTAACAAGCAAGTCTATGTACCGTGGGGGAGTGGGGAGTTTGGATCATCATGGTGCTTAAGGATCATTTTGTGGATCAAGGTGCCATTGTACAAAGCGATCTTAGCGCTAAGGTGACCGTGACTCCCGTACCTTAACATAGACTTAAGGTAGTCTTAGCTCTAAGGTTGTTTTATACAACGGCACCCAGGGCCCTGGAATATATATTTTTCAGACAAAGATACAGGATTTTCTAGTCCTGACTCTTACATTTAAAGGGAGACATTAGCTTGAATATTACTGAGTGGGCATCAAAAACAAACTAAACTGTTAAGGTAATTGTTAAGCACAAGAGTTGCCCATTACAGTGAAATTATTGTTATTGCCACATTCTGAAATATTCTGTGTGCAGGATGTTGTCTTTATTAAAACAGGAACTGGGTGACCTCCATGTGTTTTTTGTTAAACAGGACTCAGTAATATTCCAGCTATATAACAGCTGTCTGTTAATCAAGTCTGGACCCGACAATCCAGTGAGTGATATTGTGAACAACGACCCACGTTGTTGAGGTACGATGGCACACAGCCTACCACATCACCAAGCCTGACCACCAGATCCAGATTCGCCTTACAGCCAGCAGAAGCTCATGGGTACCAATTCTAATCTGTGTGTTAATGCAAGATACATATGTTTCATTTTTTCTGAGCACATTTCCCACCTGCAGATATTTTCACATAATTTTCATTTGCATATTTCATGCATCATAAAAGTCTTCCTAATCTGTACTGTCTCTGTAGCACAGTGCACACAGTGCATAGCACATAATCTTCAAAGGTTTTCAAAGTCTACTTATTATTTCACACTATGGCTAACGACCAACGTCCAACGTGTATTTTACATTTGTCACCGTACATCAACGCATAACGTATCATCGTTTACCATCAAAGAATAAAACCCTGTGGATGCGAGTTCTTTGTGATTTGTCATTCTTGCGTCTACACTGTGGTCCATGTTTCTGAGGTGCATGAACCTGCAACTATGAAACACGCTATTACCTGGCAAAAAGCATCCCCTATTTCACTTGCACTTTGGTACAACCTCTCTCGGATTCATTCCGGTTGTTCTTGCAATCATAAATAACCTATCCATGATTTTCAGTAACATTTTACCAACCAATCAAACGTATCCTACTTCATCAGCTTCTGTTTACAAACCCTGACACCCTTCAACCTATGGTTGTTTACAGTAAACAAACCCTGACACCCTTCAACCTATGGTTGTTTACAGTAAACAAACCCTGACACCCTTCAACCTATGGTTGTTCAGTAGACAAACCCTGACACCCTTCAACCTATGGTTGTTTACAGTAAACAAACCCTGACACCCTTCAACCTATGGTTGTTTACAGTAAACAAACCCTGACACCCTTCAACCTATGGTTGTTTACAGTAAACAAACCCTGACACCCTTCAACCTATGGTTGTTTTCAGTAAACAAACCCTGACACCTTCAACCTATGACTGTTCACAGTAAACAAACCCTGACACCTTCAACCTATGGTTGTTCACAGTAAACAAACCCTGACACCTTCAACATATGGTTGTTCACAGTAAACAAACCCTGACACCTTCAACCTATGGTTGTTCACAGTAAAAAAAACCTGACACCTTCAACCTATGGTTGTTCACAGTAAACAAACCCTGACACCCTTCAACCCATGGTTGTTCACAGTAAACAAACCCTGACACCCTTCAACCTATGGTTGTTCACAGTAAACAAACCCTGACACCTTCAACCTATGACTGTTCAGTAGACAAACCCTGACACCCTTCAACCTATGGTTGTTCACAGTAAACAAACCCTGACACCTTCAACCTATGGTTGTTCACAGTAAACAAACCCTGGCACCCTTCAACCCATGGTTGTTCACAGTAAACAAACCCTGACACCTTCAACCTATGGTTGTTCACAGTAAACAAACCCTGACACCTTCAACCTATGACTGTTCACAGTAAACAAACCCTGACACCCTTCAACCTATGGTTGTTCACAGTAAACAAACCCTGACACCTTCAACCTATGACTGTTCAGTAGACAAACCCTGACACCCTTCAACCTATGGTTGTTCACAGTAAACAAACCCTGACACCCTTCAACCTATGGTTGTTCAGTAGACAAACCCTGACACCCTTCAACCTATGGTTGTTCACAGTAAACAAACCCTGACACCTTCAACCTATGACTGTTCACAGTAAACAAACCCTGACACCTTCAACCTATGACTGTTCACAGTAAACAAACCCTGACACCCTTCAACCTATGGTTGTTCACAGTAGACAAACCCTGACACCTTCAACCTATGGTTGTTCACAGTAAACAAACCCTGACACCCTTCAACCTATGGTTGTTCACAGTAAACAAACCCTGACACCTTCAACCTATGGTTGTTCACAGTAAACAAACCCTGACACCTTCAACCTATGACTGTTCACAGTAAACAAACCCTGACACCTTCAACCTATGGTTGTTCACAGTAAACAAACCCTGACACCTTCAACCCATGGTTGTTCACAGTAAACAAACCCTGACACCTTCAACCTATGGTTGTTCACAGTAAACAAACCCTGACACCTTCAACCTATGGTTGTTCACAGTAAACAAACCCTGACACCTCTTCAACCTATGGTTGTTCACAAACCCTGACACCCTTCAACCTATGGTTGTTCACAGTAAACAAACCCTGACACCCTTCAACCTATGGTTGTTTACAGTAAACAAACCCTGACACCCTTCAACCTATGGTTGTTCACAGTAAACAAACCCTGACACCCTTCAACCTATGACTGTTCACAGTAAACAAACCCTGACACCCTTCAACCTATGGTTGTTCACAGTAAACAAACCCTGACACCCTTCAACCTATGGTTGTTCACAGTAAACAAACCCTGACACCTTCAAACCTATGGTTGTTCACAGTAAACAAACCCTGACACCCTTCAACCTATGGTTGTTCAAAACAAACCCTGACACCCTTCAACCTATGGTTGTTCACAGTAAACAAACCCTGACACCTTTCAACCTATGGTTGTTCACAGTAAACAAACCCTGACACCTTCAACCTATGGTTGTTCACAGTAAACAAACCCTGACACCCTTCAACCTATGGTTGTTCAGTAAACAAACCCTGACACCTTCAACCCATGGTTGTTCACAGTAAACAAACCCTGACACCTTCAACCTATGGTTGTTCACAGTAAACAAACCCTGACACCCTTCAACCTATGACTGTTCACAGTAAACAAACCCTGACACCTTTCAACCTATTCAGTAAACCCCTGACACCTGGTTGTTCACAGTAAACAAACCCTGACACCCTTCAAAACCTGACACCTTTCAACCTATGGTTGTTCACAGTAAACAAACTGTCACACCCTTCAACCTATGACTGTTTACAGTAAACAAACTAAACACCATCTAACCTGTGACACCCTTCAACCTATGGTTGTTTACAGTAAACAAACCCTCACATCTTTCAACCTGTGTTTACAGTAAATGAACCCCTTTAACTTAAGGGTGTTGAGAGTAAACAAACCCAAACCTCCTTCGACCTGTGGAAAACTCAAGTCTTCCAATCTCTAGGCGACAGATGAAAACTCTGACATCCCTGAACACAGGAGTGTATATCTAGGACACTTAACAGTTACTGGTGGAACATTCAGATCAATAATACTCTGCCTACCAAGACAAGTTAATTGGCTAGAGACATGAGCAGATTATTGCCTGTATGAAGCTTTTTTCTGAATATTGATCCATTCCCCTCCCAGTTGCCTTGCTGGAGGGACATAGGTGGCAGGGATCCACAAGGGTGTTCAACAAATGGCACTTTGCTAACAATTTACTGCTGACAATGTGTAGTAAATAGCCAACACACTACTTGCGATACTTCAGATATCCATGTTATATAACAACATTACACAGGTTACAGGTGATACTCACATTATATATGGAGTGGTAAGGATACCCACCTTACACAGGATAGTATGGGTATCCAATTTACACAGGATAGTAAGGGTATCCAATTTACACAGGATAGTAAGAATACCCACCTTACACAGGATAGTAAGGATACCTAGCTTACATGGGAGAGTCAGGATACCCAGCTTACACGGGATAGTAAAGATACCCACCTTACATGGGATAGTAAGGATACCCACCTTACACGGGATAGTAAGGATACCCACCTTACACAGGATAGTAAGGGTATCCACCTTACACAGGATAGTAAGGATACCCAGCTTACACAGGATAGTAAGGATTCCCAGCTTACACGGGATAGTAAGGATACCCATCTTACATGGGATAGTAAGGATACCCACCTTACACAGGATAGTAAGGATACCCACCTTACACAGGATAGTAAGGATACCCACCTTACACAGGATAGTAAGGATACCCAGCTTACACGGGATAGTAAGGATACCCAGCTTAAACAGGATAGTAAGGATTCCCATCTTACACAGGATAGTAAGGGTATCCACCTTACACAGGATAGTAAGGATACCCAGCTTACACGGGATAGTAAGGATACCCAGCTTACACGGGATAGTAAGGATACCCACCTTACACAGGATAGTAAGGGTATCCACCTTAAGGATACACCTTACACAGGATAGTAAGGATACCCACCTTACACAGGATAGTAAGGATATCCACCTTACACAGGATAGTAAGGATACCCAGCTTACACAGGATAGTAAGGGTATCCACCTTACACAGGATAGTAAGGATACCCAGCTTACACAGGATAGTAAGGGTATCCACCTTACACAGGATAGTAAGGATACCCAGCTTACACAGGATAGTAAGGATACCCAGCTTACACAGGATAGTAAGGATACCCAGCTTACACAGGACAGTAAGGGTATCCACCTTACACAATATAGTAAGGATACCCACCTTACACAGGATAGTAAGGATACCCACCTTACACAGGATAGTAAGGATATCCACCTTACACAGGATAGTAAGGATACCCAGCTTACACAGGACAGTACCACAGGATAGTAAGGATACCCAGCTTACACAGGATAGTAAGGATACCCAGCTTACACAGGATTGTAAGGATACCCAGCTTACACAGGATAGTAAGGATACCCAGCTTACACGGGATAGTAAGGATACCCAGCTTACACAGGATAGTAAGGATACCCACCTTACACAGGATAGTAAGGATACCCACCTTACACAGGATAGTAAGGGTATCCACCTTACACAGGATAGTAAGGATACCCAGCTTACATAGGATAGTAAGGATACCCAGCTTACACAGGATAGTAAGGATACCCACCTTACACAGGATAGTAAGGGTATCCATCTTACACACGATAGTAATGATACCCAGCTTACACAGGATAGATGCTTGATTAGCATTTTAGAAGATGATATTTACAGGATAGTAAGGGTATCCCCCTTAAACACAGTAGTAAGGACACACAACAGGATAGTTATGACACCACCTTACACAAGATACTAAAGATACCTACATTACACACAGTATTTAGGATACCCACTTTACATGGGATAGTAAGGACAACAACTTTACACAGGACAACCACTTTACACGGGATAGCAAGGACAACCACTTTACATGGGATAGTAAGGACAACCACTTTACATGGGATAGTAAGGACAACCACTTTACATGGGATAGTAAGGACAACCACTTTACATGGGATAGTAAGGACAACCACTTTACATGGGATAGTAAGGACAACCACTTTACACGGGATAGTAAGGACAACCACTTTACATGGGATAGTAAGGACAACCACTTTACATGGGATACAACCACTTTACATGGGATAGTAAGGACAACCACTTTACATGGGATAGTAAGCAAGGACAACCACTTTACACGGGTTAGTAAGGACAACCACTTTACATGGGATAGTAAGGATACCCACTTCACACAGAATAGTAAGCATATCCACTTTATACATTAGTAAGGATATCTGTGTCTTTACACACGATAGTATGGATACCTATCTTACACAGGATAGTGAGGAAACCCAATGTGCACAGGAGAGTAAGGATACCTACTTTACACAGGAGAGTAACTACTTTACACATAACATATAGAAGTTCAGGGTGGGTGAGCTATATTACAAAACATTGGCTTTACAATGGAGGGTAGCCACTATTCCCACTTCACGCTGTGTATATTTACATTAGTGAACCCAACAAATATAGCTGTTGTGCTGACAGACCAAGTGTCATAGTCAGGACAAATCTGGTATTCAAACAATGGATCATCAGTTCCTAGCTCTGCCAAGGGAGGTAACTCTATAAATTGTGGCACTGTGTACTTTGTTTTCTTGTTTCAAAATATTGTCCTCCTGTTCTAAATGACAGAGCACAGTGCAACACATGGTGAAATTGCTAAGAACAAAATAGACCAACCCTTTTTCTTAATTTAGTACCTTCTTCCTGTGGTACTGATGAACTCTTATGCATCTACCAGTCACAGATTCTGTTAAAACAAAAGCGAATTCCACCTAAAGCACTAAAAGAGCTGTGAAAATATTCCTTTGGTACACATTCTTCCTAACTATACTCAGGAATGCTAGATCTATATTCACTGCTCTAGCATTTCTGACATTCACTGCACCACTTCTGTATCTAGCATTTGTTGATCACATTTAAGGGCTGGTACCATATGGCCTAGTCTTGACAGTTGGGTAATGCCATGTTCCACATCTGTGCACTGAGCAACCTCCATCAGGTATTGTACGTACATATAAATGCCAGCACTACTACTTATGGTTGGGTCAATGCTACTGATATGGTTGTACTGCTGGACTTTCTCAGAGACTACTGTAGCAAAACTACCTATAAAGTTAACATGATGTTTGTATTCACTGTAAATACATAAAAATGCCAGGTACTGTTTCCGCACAACTACTTATGGTTGGGTCAATGCTACTGATATGGCTGTACTGCTGGACTTTCTCAGAATACTGTAGCAAAACTACCTATAAAGTTAACAAGATGTTTGTATTCACTGTAAATACATAAAAATGCTAGGTACTGTTTCAGCACAACTGGTCATGGTGTGGCCATTCTGTGCCAGTGATTGATGTACTGCTGGAGACTGTCTGTTTTCAGTTTATTAGATACTACTTCAGAATGACTACTTAGGGTTTGATGAAGTTTTTGGATTCAGAGCAAATACATTTAAATGCCAGGTCCTGTTAGGGACCGTTAATAATTTATGGCTAGTGTGTGTGTGTGCATGCGTGTGTGCATGATTTTAAGGGGGTCACCCATTTTGTTCTGAAGAGGTGGGGTGGGGTGGTTTCACCAATTGTGTACACATGTACTGGGGTTGTCACCAATTTTGTAAAAAAAAATAAGAAAAAAAAATATGATTATAAATTAAGAGAAAGGGGGAAAATTGATTTTGTACATGACATGCAAGGGGGTTCACATATTTTGTACATATATTTTAGGGGGGGGTCATTCACATTGTACATGCCTTTCCATGAAAATCATAAAAAAAAACCCCACCCCACATATATTATGAACAGTCCCTTACAGCATAACTACTAATTGTTGGGTCAGTCTGTGCTGATATGGCCGTAGTGTTATCGATTGTCTGCTTTCACTTACACAGATACTACTGTAATGGCAACAAGATGTTTGTATTCACTGTAAATACATTTAAATGCCAGGTACTGTTCCAGCACTAACTACGAAAGGCACAGCTACAGACTTTCAGGTCGGATACAAGTGAAAACATATATCCAATCTACAAGTGATTATACATTATCTGTGTGAATAGACTGTAAACTGAGCTGTGGCAAGGAAATGTGGACAAACTTACGAGACAGATAATCCATGGCTCCATCTTTCTTTATATAACCCACACTCTTTATTAATAAAACTCAAATAAACTCATGGATCACTGAGTCTTAAAGGGAGACATCAACCTGACTTAGTTTCACAAAAAAATCTTGTAATGTTCAAAATGTTCAAGGGACAACATCATCTGTATTCACCTGATGAAGGAGCAAGAATTAGCTCTGAAACGTCGTGTAAAGAATAAAAAGAAGTTGTTATCCATAAAAGTGTCATGTATATTCATGTTCATCCAACTTCTAAATGCCTTTCAAAAACATCATCTGTAACTATGCAATGTGTTTAAATGCCATCCTGTTATGATAGACCTCTACATATACCACTAAAAGGAAGTTAAGGACCATCTGATTTGGATGGAATCGAGAGATCCCTAATTTTTTTCACTGGAATGAAAATACTGAAACTGGGACGACATCCCTATGGGTAATACTGCTGTACAACTACTAGCAAGGATGACATGATTAGTGCATTAAGGGACCGTTCATAATTTATAGCTAAGTGGGGTGGTGATGATTTTCATGGAAAGGCATGTACAATGTGAATGACCCCCCCCCTAAAATTTATGTACAAAATATGTGAACCCCCTTGCATGTCATGTACAAAATCAATGATCCCCCCTTCCCGTAATTTATAATCATATTTTTTTCTTATTCTTGTGTACAAAATTGGTGACCCCCCTAGTACATGTGTACAAAATTGGTGACCCCCTACCTCTTCAGAACAAAATGGGTGACCCCTCCTTAAAATCATCATCACGCCCCTATCCATAAATTATGAACGGTCCCTAAGTGTAATACTATTGTAACACAACTACTAGTAGGTCAAATCTGTTTATGCTGTAGGGGTAGCAATACTTGCAAAGAATGTCTGCTCTGAGTCTCAGATGCTACTTCAGTACAGCTACTTATAATGGTTACATGGTTCTTGCATTCAGTGCTTAAGGCATGGGCTTTCAAAAACACAGTTAAGACTACTGATGCACAACTGCTTATGGTTTAGGGGCAAATTGGTTCACTTCACAAAGGCTGTCTTGCAGCAGTACACAGTGTTCTGCGTAGATTTCAGACTCCTTTCAAGCATTTTTTCAAGAGTGAAATTTTAACCTGTCATGTAGACAATCGAAAATCCTGCATTTGTTGGTTCTTGAAACTTACAACATTATCCTACATCTTAGTTGTTAAATAATCCTTAGTGTTACAGCATCTTTAATTATCATCAAAACACATGCAGCAGTTTTGCAGAGTTATCTCCCCTAGTGACAGGATCTGCTTATTGTAGATTTGAATCCAAGACTAAATATAGTTTGTCTTGAGCATACCATCATTGATCCTTGCATACAATCCACAACCTGGAACATCTTGAGTTTTCACCTAATTGAGGTTGATATACAATGAAATTACTAGACTACTGAAAGGTTTTGCAGTGACTTCAATCATTTAAACGGTTCGGGAATCTGGCATCTGGATGAGCAGAACAAAGGCAGCAATGGAGCTTTCGCCAATTTGTAACAATCAGAGCCATTGGCTGCTACACTATCGATGGTCAACCGGTGTGACAGGTGCACTCTCATCACTTCCTTGCTCCTCTCCAGGCTCGGGGAAACTGTCCGATCAATATGAACGTAAGGACACTGATGTTCCTGTCAACAGCTGGCCACATGAATACCATGGCTAGGCTGCTGCTGTTTACCAGATTGAGAATGAATGAATGGACCAAATAGCAACTTGGGGATTCAGTTCACTATTCACAAGCTTAAGACAAATCAATCTCAGAAATGTTTTCAGTTAACAACTGTCAGTGAGCTTGGTCAGATACAACCCTATTTAAGAAATATTTCGCTCTAGCACCATGTATAGTGTAATAAAGCACACTTTCATCCTGAAATATTGGACCGCCTCTGAGGTGTAGTGGTTAGAGCGTCCGCCCGGAGAGCGGAAGGTCGCGAGTTCGATCCCCGACCATGTCATACCAAAAGACGTTAAAATATGGTACTTGCTGGTCCCTGCCTGGCGCTCGGCAGTACTGGGTACAACAAGGACTAGTCGGCTTGGAGTCAGTATAATGTGTCTGAGTGGGGTATTCATGCTTCACTGCGGCATGGTATCTCAGTGGGCTAGCACTATAAAACCAAGCACGACTTAAAACCCAGTATCACCTCACCTCACCTGAAATATTGTAGTTAACGCATGAGGACACTTTAACGTTATATACAGTTATACTGTAGGAGGCTGTACGAGGCGATGACAACTGGCACCGATCATGACGTCGATTACATTGTGACGTAATGCAAAAGTGTTCGATTCTGATGCCAATACATTGGGCAGACTAGAATGGAGCAGTGACGCCAATACATTGTGACGTAATGCAAAAAGTGCACATTATCGTATGAAAAAGTACTGTTGGCGCCTTTGATCTTTCACAGAAGCATCTTAGAATTCATTATAGACCATATATTTGTGTGAGGTGAGGTGAGGTGAGGTGAGATGGGATGGACCAGGCTGGGTGATAACCAGCATTATTGTTTCGAGTCTTTTGATTGGATGTTTTTCTGGGACTTAACCATCCATCCTGTCTTTCCAAGCAGGCTCTCGATCTGCTTGATCACAGTGTAGCTGTATCAGGTATTGTCTATGCTCTTCAGGTTACAAAATGTCATATTATGCCAACTTGATACAGGTTGTATTCATGGACGTCTTTGATGAAACCCAAAAGCATGACGATGGTGTTTATAACCCGGGTGTATCTGGGAACCTGAATACAAAGACCAACATTCTGACATGTCCATACATCAATCCACAGACTATATCTCAAGAGACCATACATTGTGCACAGTCTGGACAATCACAACAGTCTTCTGCACAAACTGTCAGATGACCTTGACCTTTACATCATTACCTAATTATCAGAACTGATCATTTTACATAAAGTGACTGAGAAACACTTAATTTTCAAAACAGTCCTCTGCCAGTCCTATCCTCTGAAGTCCTCAGGCACTATTCAGGAGTATGACATCTCATATTCAGGTTGTTGCAATAGTAGAGCGCACCCACATAAGTCCGCCTCACAGTCCCTGAACCACATTATTATCCCTTACAGTCCTTTCTGCAATGCTTAAGCCCTCAATGAAGCAAGTCTAGAATTCTTCAGAACTGAATCTCCCATCTCACAGGGGCTCCTTTGCAATTTAAATAGGAACAATTTGTTTCTACCAAAATGATATATATTCAGAGACCAAGCCTTACTCTATGAGCCATTGTCTGCTTCCATGCTGTGCCTTACTCATTTAGCAGCTAACAACAAGCATCCGTCAAAGTTATACTGTAATATACCACCTGCACCTAACTTAGGAAGGTTAAGGTTAAATAGATAACACCACTTTAATTCCGAGGTGAGAAAACATCTTAACATTGATAGTTTCTGAGCCTGAATTATCGCTTTAATATTTGGGACGTTAAATCCCCCATCCTTTTTGTCACAAATGATTTGACTTCTCTTAATTTATCAGGTTTGTTCTTCCAGATGAATTTAAAACATTTTGTTGAAAATCGTAAATAACATCAATATTTGGATTTGGTAATAAGCTGAAGAGGTGTTGCAGCTTTGGGATACAACAAGCCTCCTTCAGGAGTGCACAAGTCACTGCATATACCTGTAGTACAAAACATGTCATATTCTTTTCTACCTAGGTACAAACTATAGCTTCTCCTGGATTTCAACAATGACAGGATCAGCTGTGCGCATACCAGTTCAGTTACATGTAACTTGACATAGTTGTCGGTTTCTGTTTTTGCCTTTTTGTAGCTCTGGATTCTAATGCATTAAGCCCTACACGTCCTCTGCACAGCAGGAATCAGTTGACGAAAAGGGACAGGTGTGTTGTGAGGAGGCGGAGAAGAACTTCCTCCCCGATATGAGGCAGGTGAGTCAGGAAATGTAGATGATGCTAAGGAAGGCAGCAGCAGCTGCTGCATGCAATGATGCTATCCTGTGAGTAACCAATATGTAAGACTCAGGCAGTCTGTGATCAGCAGTAATGTGCAATTTCTCTGTCACATGACGTCACAACCCACATGCTGTCATTCTTAATTCGTCATCCTGCTGGCAAGATACGACATGTTTTTTTCAGATGTTATGTTTTCTTTCTCTTTTTCTGATTTAGTATTGAGGTATTAATCTAATCAAGCTTGACTATGTACTAAAAGTCATGACCAAAATTAATGGCCCATAGCACCTTGACCAAATACCCTCACCCACAAAACAATGAAGAAATATCCTGACCTACAGAAGGATGGCCAACTACTTTGCCAGAGAGGACAATGACTAAAATCCATGGCCCACATTGTGATGACCAAAGTCCCCATCTCACAGACCGATGACCAAATACCCTGACCCACCATGGCTACATTCCTTGCTTCAGAGGACAATGACAAACAGCCCCCAAAACACTTGATAATACCCAATTACCTGACCTACAGACCGATGACCAAATACCCTGACCCACCATGACTACATTCCTTGCTTCAGAGGACCATGACAAACAGCCCCCAAACACTTGACCGATGACCAAATACCCTGGCTGAGAAGACAAGGACTAAAAGCCCTGGACCCATGATCACATTCCTTGTCTGAGAGGACAATGACAAACAGCTGAAAACCACATAATGATGACCCAAATGCCTGACCTACAGGTGTCCTGATGATCATATAACCTGCCTCAGAAGACAATGACAGACCCCAGGTTTTGGTTGTACATTCTAAACCTAGATGCTGGAAAGCTCTGACCCATAGAGCAATGACTAAATGCCCTGACCCACAGAACAATGACCAAATACCCTGCCTGTGAAAACAATGACAAACCACAGGTTTGCATGCTGGAAAGCTCTGACCCACAGAACAATGACCAAATCCCTCATCCCCAGAACAATGACCAAATACCCTGACCCACAGAACAATGACCAAATACCCTGACCCAAAGAACAATGACCAAATACCCTGACCCACGGAACAATGACCAAATATCCTGATCCACAGAACAATGACCAAATACCCTGACCCACCATGGCTACATTCCTTGCTTCAGAGGACAATGACAAACAGCCCCCAAAACACTTGATAATACCCAATTACCTGACCTACAGACCGATGACCAAATACCCTGACCCACCATGACTACATTCCTTGCTTCAGAGGACCATGACAAACAGCCCCCAAACACTTGACCGATGACCAAATACCCTGGCTGAGAAGACAAGGACTAAAAGCCCTGGACCCATGATCACATTCCTTGTCTGAGAGGACAATGACAAACAGCTGAAAACCACATAATGATGACCCAAATGCCTGACCTACAGGTGTCCTGATGATCATATAACCTGCCTCAGAAGACAATGACAGACCCCAGGTTTTGGTTGTACATTCTAAACCTAGATGCTGGAAAGCTCTGACCCATAGAGCAATGACTAAATGCCCTGACCCACAGAACAATGACCAAATACCCTGCCTGTGAAAACAATGACAAACCACAGGTTTGCATGCTGGAAAGCTCTGACCCACAGAACAATGACCAAATCCCTCATCCCCAGAACAATGACCAAATACGCTGACCCACAGAACAATGACCAAATACCCTGACCCACAGAACAATGACCAAATACCCTGACCCAAAGAACAATGACCAAATACCCTGACCCACGGAACAATGACCAAATATCCTGATCCACAGAACAATGACCAAATACCCTGACCCACAGAACAATGACCAAATACCCTGACCCACGGAACAATGACCAAATACCCTGATCCACGGAACAATGACCAAATACCCTGACCCACAAAATTCTCCAGATACACTGCCTGACAGGACAATGACCTCAGGTTTGGCCTATACATTCCAGACCTGGATGCTGTAGAAGCTTGACCTGTCCAAGCTAGTCCTGTCAGTCCTGTTCCTGTCAGACTTTATACCAGAAGCTGTGGAATAGATAGGTACTCTCCATGCCAAAATACTGAGTTCCACTGCTGGCACTGCAAACACAACAATGTGTACGAGGTGTGACTAGGTGTACATAATGGTGCCAGAGATCAGTCAACATTCTGGCAGCAGAACAAGCACCACTGTTCCAATAGCTGCCAGTCTTTTATGCCAACCTGTTATACTTTAGGTGAACTAGAAAATCATCACCTATTCAGCCTAAAAGGACAATATTCTTCTTACATAAGTATTGCACAGTCATTAGCATTGAGTAGGCAATGACTTAATGGATGATCTACCAACTAATAAATCTCTGAAACCAAGGTCGCTAAGCAGTACCTGAGAGACTGAGTAGGGTCTTGAATCTCAGTCAGAATATGGCAGTGGACAGTAAATACCCAAGTCTGGACCAGACAAACCAGTGAGTGATATCATGAACAACATAATCTTTAAGAACACAATGACACACAATCAACCAAGTCACTAAGTCTGACCACTTAATCTATATAGTCACTTTATATAACTGCATGGATGACCTTTATTAATCCAGAATTTCTAAGGGGTCAATTTTCTTAACAGTATCGCTGTCAATCTGAATTGGGGAAGAGAACAAGGAAATGAAACTAAGTGGCAAACACCTTCACCACAAGGCTACACCTCTGTTCCTTGTCAATATGAGTGATTTGGGTTTTAAGCCACTTTAAGCAATATTCCAGCAATATCACCATGGTGGACACCTGAAATTGGCTTCACACATTGCACCCAAGTGGGTATCGAACCAGGGCTTCAACATGATGAGCTAACGGTTTAACCACTAGGCTACCACACTACCCTTTACCAATATGGTCTGTTTAAGACAATAATAAGAAAGTGAGGTCAAAAGGAGTTTAACATTGCAAACTATGTAAGCTGACTCTGAGGCGACCATTCCTTGTGCTAACTGCTTAATGCTGAGCACCAGTCTGGGAAACAACAATCTAACAATGTGTCGTTATGATGCAGCAAGGAATGAGTGAGTTGGGTTTTACGCCGCCTTTAGCAATATTACAGCAACATCCCTGCAGGGGACACCAGAAATGGGCTTCACATATTGTACCCATGTGGGGAATCGAACCTGGGTGTTTGGCGTGAGGGGCGAATGCTTTAACTGCTAGGCTATCCCACTGCCCCGATGCAGCAAGGTTTGAACTAAGGACCTTTTTGCTCTCGAGGCAGACGCTTTATCCACTAGGCCACTGAGGCAATGTGGCAAATACTTCTGATTTCATCCAAAGAAGAACACTCAACGAAACTCTTGGCCTCATTAAACTTAACAGATTTTTTCCTTTTCGTTTTTCGGGAACAGATGAACACTTTCAATCCACTTTTCCATCAATACATATTTTCCCCATAACATCTTGACCCAAACAGTTAAACTATAATACAGGATGTAAAAATTGTCCCACCTTCTTTAAAATGGTTGAAAACATTCGCCTGATTCCAAACAATAAATTTCTACAGAAAATTGATATTACTGAAATACTCCTTCCTCCGAGAAAGGTTGAACTGAATTCAACCCCAGGGAGCCATGCACACTCCTTTCTCTCTAAACAGCCAGTTCTACAATCACCAGCTGTACGGAGGACAACGTGCTTATCTCTGAGCTAAATGTGCTTCTCGCTGAGCTAAATGTGCAGTGTTTTGGTTGTTTTGATTCCAACAGAAATGAAACCACTGGAAGAATTGGAACGTGAGTCATTTAATGGATCCTGCTGTTCTCCTGAAACCACAATACATAATCATACATGTTATGAAGCGAGAAGATATCGCTAGGAAAACATACCGAAGCACAGAGGCCAGCTGGAAGGAATAACCGACATGAGGAAAAAACACAGAAAAAAAGATGGTGGGAAGATATGCTGGCTCTGGTTTACGCAAGACTATGTCTCTCTGACGTCGACAGACGGAATATCCCGTGCATCCATCGACAGAATAACAGGCAAACAAAGAATATCACTCAGCTAGAACGGGTGTCTGATGAGATTCCAGGATTATACAGGGTACCGGTACCTCAGATCGTTTGACTTGCAGGAATTTGGCACTCACAGTGTTCTATATACCATGTGGCATTAAATGAAACATAAACAATGATCAAAGCATGTATAACCATGACAGAACAATATCTTGCCTTTCCACATGTTTGGAAGATTTACGACAATATTCAACTAATCTCTAGACATCCTGTTCATTCCTATGGCTACATCCAGTCCCAATTCCTTCTAGCTAAATCCTTAATTCAATAGAACGTTCATCTCCAGAAAGATGACAAGACATTGCACAGAGGCACGGTATGAAGAACACAAGAGACCAATTGCCTTTGGCGGCAATGGGAAGCTTGTTCAGAGATATGAGTTGAGAAATTGTCAGACTGATTCCACCCACCATATCTTCTCTTCCATGAGTCATTTGACATTTAAGATTTAAGACCTCCACAGGTAGTTTTTTGCATTTTATCTAAAAAAAAGGAAATTGCCATATGAGCAAGCTTCAGTGTGTTATACTGTTTTACAAACCAAGTCTTAGAATTCTTGTATTTCCCTAGCAAATGTCAAGGTAATTCATGGAAAGATTACGACACATGGGAGGGTAATACTGTCTTTATTACCCATTATACCTTATCCTCTTAGGCACTGACCTTCACCTTAGAAAACTACAATTGTCAAATGATGTCAGCAACATTCAGTTATGACGTCTTTTGTTGGATGATGTCATTCTGACCGTACAGCACAAAAAGATTCTAATGGCATCAATAAAGCTTTGATTGATTGATTGTATTTTTGTTTTATCGCCGCACTCAACAATATTCCAGCTATGGCAGCAGTCTGTAAATAATCGAGTCTGGACCAGACAATTTTGTGATCAACAGCATAAGCATCGAATAACACTATTGGGATACGTTGACATGTGTCAACCAAGTCAGCAAGCCTGACCATCCTATCCTGTTAGTAAGTCTTACGACAAGCATGGGTTGCTGAAGACCCAGATCTTCACGAGGGTTCTGGGGATAGAACAGTAAAAATACTTCATATTCGATCATCATCATCATCATCATCAACAAAAAAGGCAACAACAATGCTCCAAGGAGCATTAACCAATACAATGGCTTTTATGAAGTGATATTTGCAACAGTGCACATATCATTTTTATGAACTACGATATTCTAATCCTATGGGTAATGAAACACAGCTAATGCTAAAATGACACTTAGGTTGTTGCGGGAGAGTGAATGAAACAAGATTTCACAAGGGAGGAGAGCATGATGTTTACGATCTTCTCCAGAAAGATCACAAGCTGAAGACATTGACTGATGCACAACCCAATGATATAAAAACACAAGGGACCATTCTGTAAGTGGCAGTTAAGTGAATCTTATTCATGATGCAAGTTAAGAAATTGTCAGATTCCACCCACAAGCTCTTCACTTTCTGCACATCACGAATGAATCTGAATAATGATTTGAAGTGCAGTGGATTCAGGTTCTTCAGTGGACTTGGTTTACATGTTGTGTAACAGATGCAGCTGATGCCATAGAGTGTGAATGGATAGAATTTCAAGTATATGAAGGCTTGTCAGCTTAATGTAACAAAAGCCTGAACTGATACAGGTTGTGGACATATAATTCTTTTGTGAAATCCATGATCGCGTGTGGTGCCCCATAGTTGGTTGTTGTTTGTTTGTTGTTTAACACAGCACACAGCAACATTCCAGCTATATGGTGGCGGTCTGTAAATAATCGAATCTGGACCAGACAATCCAGTGATCAACAGCATGAGCATCGATCTACACAATTGGGATACAATGACATTTGTTGACCAGTCAGCGAGCCTGACCACCCGATCCCGTTAGTTGTCCCATAGTGACTTACTTGACAGACAGAATCATGATCACTGCATCAGAGCAGAATTGTGTGTCCGTGTTAATGACGTCCACTTACCCTGATGAAGAAATAGATCATGAAGAACACGTTGAAGGCCAGGTCGACCTGCTGGGTTGTACTGGAGGCCCACGGGTGACATGTTTCCACGTTCTCGTTACCTCTGAAATTGTAAAGTCGGACATGCTTGAATCAGTCAATATCAGTTTCAGTATACTGAACAAAAGAATTAAGGGATCATAAATATATGCATATCCTGCACACAAATACATAAACATTTGTCTTTTCTACAACAAAATTTACCCAAACATCTTCATGTTCCACAACCTTTTTGTTCAGTATATTGAACTAAGGGCAGAATATGGCAACTAGAAGGAATCCTTGGCAGCCATCTTTGGTTTCCAGCTGCTACATTTTTTGGGTCAATAATTACCATCAAGTGAGAACTATACATACTTAAAGCATAAAATGATGGTTTTAGTAGACTATTATAGTTATTTCAGTTATATAAATGTATCAGTGTGTTGATTAAGGAAATTCAGAAACGATGCAGGTCTTGGACATCTTGGGGATTCTGCTGTAAAGCCAGAAACAATCAAGACAGTCTGGGTTTCATACCCATAATGATAGTGCACCGGTAGGTTGTATATGTGAATTGTGGTTCCCTAGACTATTGGGGTTCCCTGGACTATTTCAGTGCCCTAGACTTTTGGGGTGCCTTAGACTATCCCAGTGCTTTAGACTATTGGGGTTCCCTGGACTATTCCAGTGCCCTAGACTTTTGGGGTGCCCTAGACTATCCCAGTGCCTTAGACTATTGGGGTTCCTTTTTGGGGTGCCCTAGACTATCCCAGTGCCTTAGACTATTGGGGTTCCCTGGACTATTCCAGTGCCCTTTTTGGGGTGCACTAGACTATCCCAGTGCCTTAGACTATTGGGGTTCCCTGGACTATTCCGGTTCCCTAGACTTTTGGGGTGCACTAGACTATCCCAGTGCCTTAGACTATTGGGGTTCCCTGGACTATTCCAGTGCCCTAGACTTTTGGGGTGCCCTAGACTATCCCAGTGCCTTAGACTATTGGGGTTCCCTGGACTATTCCAGTGCCCTAGACTTTTGGGGTGCCCTAGACTATCCCAGTGCCTTAGAATTTTGGGGGTTCCCTGGACTATTCCAGTGCCCTAGACTTTTGGGGAGCACTAGACTATCCCAGTGCCTTAGACTATTGGGTGCCCCAGACTATTCCAGTGCCCTTGACTATTGGGTGCCCCAGACTATCGGAGTGCCCCAGGCTACTGTGGGTGCTCCCGGCTATTGGGTTACTCATCCCCTGGGTAATAACTGAGTGTACTCCGGGAATCATGATTTCATGACATTACTAGGTACTACAACAGCTGCTTCCAATCATCAACTCCTGGAGAATACACTGAACCTTCCCGACAGACATAAATAAACCAGGCCGTGGGGAGATCAGGTGTTCCCTGGGGTGTTATACCAGGTTACAGGGGTGGAAGTATGGTGGCGTGGTATCATCACTATTTGATAGTAATTCATAAACACACGCTCTTGATATGTCGGACAACGGACTCTGCTTTTAGATTTGTTGTGATTATGTAAATATATTTTATTGCCTATATATATCAAAACAGGTGGTTGGAAGATTACAACTATACCCCATCTCCATCATCCCAGCTAACACACAATGTTTTCGCAACATTGTGGCAAGGTTGTAGATTGGTAACGTCATGACACATCGTCAGTATTACATCATTTTATAGCTAAAATACATGGAATTATCATGAAACGGCCCTACTATTATCAGAAATATGCTGGCTGCTGCAAATGATATTGGACCGCTCAACCTTAACGACGGGCCACTATCAGTTCTGTTGTCAAGTGACGTGTGTCGGTTCATTCGACTTTGGCTTTAGACTGGCAGATATTCTGGGGCAAACAAGTCAAAGCAACCCGAATTCCCGCTTTAAATATCGCTAATATTGGCTTTCCTGCTGGTGCTAACCTTAACAATTGCACTATTAACGTTGTTGTTGGACCATAACCGAACTCTGAAAACTGATCTTGTGTCTGACATAGTTTGACATAGTGTAGGCTTAGGTATGGCCAAGGTCGAATATCATCAAGTTCCTTGTGACGTCACTTGAATTGTTCGACGATGTAATTGCATTCGGTCAGTCAACCCCATCAGCAGTTGGTTTTGAGTAAACTTACAGTCAAATTCCTTCATTGTTTCCTTTTTCTTTTCAACACAAATTCCATGTATTTTAGCAATAATAACGGTAATGCACTGCATCATATCATAACATATTAACTTAAAGTGAGTATGTTTTAAAGTGATTTTAGCAACATTCTAGCTATATCACAGCAGAGGACACCAGAAATGGGCTTCACACATTGTACCCATGTGGGGAATCGAACCCATGTCTTCAGCATGAGTGAAAACTTTAACCAACAGGCTGTTACCTGACTTAACTCAGCTCAACATGAGTAGGAGGTGAGGTGAGGTGAAATTGGGTTTTACATCATGCTTGAGAATATTTCGCTCATATGACGACATGCATGCATGTGTATGTGTATGTGTGGCTGCTTGTACTAGCACAGACTTAAGCTGGTTTTATAGTGCTAGCTCACTGAGATACCATGCCGCAGTGAAGCATGAATACCCAACTCAGACACATTATACTGACTCCGAGCCGACCAGTCCTGTTGTACCCATTAATGCTGAGCGCCAGGCAGGAACCAACAAGTACCATATTTTAACGTCTTTTGGTATTATGCGTCGGGGATCGAACCCGCGACCTTCCGTTCTCTGGGCGGATGCTCTAACCACTATACCACGGAGGCAGTGACATAAAAACTAATGATAGCGATGTAAAACTATGATCGTTTGTTAAACAACTTTTACCATAAGTTTAATTAAATTCTGAGATTTAAATGTTCAATTGGCAAGGTAAAATTATGAAGATTTGCATTCTTAATTTCACTTTATTCGATTTACTTTTTTGTTTAAGGTCAAATTCATCGGTACGTTTCTCTGCAAACAGACTATAATTGGGATATGATGAGAACTAAAAGGCATTTAAGAAACATGACAGATTGCATACCTAAGATATGTTCATTCTAAAGAGAACTGAAATAGAACACATTCCCCATCCCACAAATGACGCATGTCTAGTAATACTAAAACTCCAGTTAAAATTCCTGTAAAACCATATACCATGTCCAAACGAGGCTGTAACTAGCGAAAACATGTAACAGATGATCCTTCACCATACCCATAACACAGGAACCGTGTCAAGATGCACACTTCATCAGTAACAGCAGAGTGTAGTAAGCTTTGACTTACCACATTACATTTCAAACATCATTTGAGTAAGCTATGGTGCTTGTGTCTTGGACAGAAGAAAATCACTAACAACATCTGTACACCATGAAATAAATAAAGCAATTTTAGTTAATTTGTTTGCTGGACATGGTTTATCATCAGTAAAAAAAAAATTGTGTCATTATTCTTTACATTTCATAAAGAATAATTTGATGTCTTGAAGCAGTGACTGAAATCTCAAATTCCATTACCAAATTCCACAAATTCTAACTCCCCAAATATATTAAATGGTCAGTCCATAAGACAGAGTAGGTTTTACATTTCTGAGCCCCCTTTATCGACACTCCAGGAAAATCGGGTTGGTGGGGTAGTCTAGTGGTTAAAGCGTTTGCTCGTCATGCCAAAGACCCGGGTTCAAATCCCCACATGGGTACAATGAGTGAAGCCCATTTCGGGGTGTCCCCCGCCGTGATATTGCTGGAATATTGCTAAAAGCGGCGTAAAATCAAACTCAGTCAGTCAGTCCAGGAAAATCACAGGACACATTACAAATTGGCCTTACACACTGCTCATGAGGAAGCAACCTGTACCTTGGGTATGATGAGTAAACACTAGTGTTGGGAATTGGTTAAAATCTCATAATTGACGATTGCTTTATTACAACCGATCAATCATTGAAATAAATTGTTTAGCGTCATTTTTCAGATTTTCCTATCCAGGTTGTTATTGCAGACACTATAGCATGATGCAACTTGCTACTTTAAAGTGATGACTAATATATCATGAACATAAACTTCCTGGAGTCTTCAAGAAATATTCAGTCATGGCTTTTCACTTAGTGAAGTGAGTATTCTAACAATTAAACACGTTTTCAGGCCCTGACAACTTCGAAGATATGTTCCATCGTCAAGTGTTTCAAAGACTAAACCAGTAGTTCCAAAATCATTTGTGTTTGATAATGAGAAATGTGATCGATTGCTTGGTCGTTTGGTCATTGTGACCAATCTTCGATTATTTCAATTTATTGGAACAACACTAGTGACCACAGCAGAGTGTAGAAAGCTCGGACTTATCACACCACTGATTGTGTACTTCTAGACATAATTTGTGTAAGCTGTGGTGCTTGTGTTTCAAACATGACAGGTAGACAGACGAGAATCAGGTGAGTCGTGTAACATGTTGAAAAGAGCAACCAACAGCTGATGCTCGTCAAAACACAAAATCAGCACAGAATATGTAGACTGATATAATTGGATTGGGATTTTTAAACAATTCCAGTGATGTTTTTCTACTTTTTTATCTGATCATATGATATACTGAGTCATTACAATATGGTTGCTAGACTTAAAAATTTGGAAAAAATTCTCATCTTCATTTCAACATCACTGTGCTAAAGTTCTTAAAAAATGACAGATTGTCTTGTTACCCAATGTTTAGTGATAAGACACATGGAACTGGTAACATCATCGCCGAAATGAGGTGAGGCGAAATGGCACTGAACGTCACGTTCAAGATTACTGCACTTACATAGAGACTGGTGACTGCTTGCTTGTCCTACCCTGAAGTAATGCTTGTTTTATTGTCTGAGCTGACTGAGATACTATGACAGAGTATGCAAGGCATACCTGCTCAGATGCAGCATATTCTGATCAGACCAGTCCTTGTGTAACACCTTAATGCTAAGAATCAGGCAGGGTAACAAAAAGTTCCATTTTTAATGAGTAACTCCTTGTTTGACTTCCAAAGCCAAGAGCCAGACAGGGTAGTGAAATGTACCATCTTTTAATGTATAAATGCTTGTTTGTCCAAACTGAGATCCACA